CGGCTAGACCTTTGTCTTCGCACTCCCTCGTTAGTTCAGGAGATGAGCTTGTTACAGTGGTAGCAGCCTGCAGATTCCAGCAGCTTGTCGGTGAATCCATAATGGTCTTGACCGAATGGCGTGGCTAGTCGTGCCTCAGAAAGAGAGAAGCCTGCCTCGTAATCTGCTGGCCCACCAAGGCAAGAGTATGCTCTAATGGGCTTTCTGCTCAGAGCAGGGCATCCTCGCCATGACCCGGTATGAACGGAGGAAAAGTCGCTTTCAGACCTGACAAGGACAGAAGGCACTAGGCGAGTGGTGTAACATACGGGACGGGAAGAAAGGAGAAGCTAGCCAATATAAACGGTCTAAATATGTATGAGCGATGAATGTGCCAAAGCAATTGAATGCGTTCCAAGACAAATACCTTATCCTTTTGTGGTTCGTTCGACGGTTCACCGGTGGGCACCGCGCCGGCAGTCGGAGATGCTGCAGAAACAAGGAAAAGTTAGTTTCAATGCATGTTCAAAACACTGCCAATCCTGCGCAGCAAGCAGAAATAACCAATTTGGGAGTGTCGTGTACACGGGTCACAGCCCCACACCGGCTGTTCGACCGGTCACCCCGCTATGCTGCTTAATATGGGACTGCCAGTACTCAAAATTCATTTGCTTTCGCCTTCGTATTATCGAGTTCGATGCCTACTTCATGAGCGGTTTTTCGTTGAGGGATGTGCTATAGCAGGTACGAACGCTTAAAGCTTGTCTTCGGAGCCTGCACAAGTCGACTGCGGTGCACTAGGATTCCCCATCCGAAATATCAAAATTTTCCGTGTATCAAGCAACAACATGGGTTTCATTCTATTCCCTCTACAATGCGACTCTAGAGCCTAGGTTTTCGTTTGTGGGGATTGTTTACCATTTCTAGTGCATCCGCTCGTTGTGCGCATGACGAAAACTGTGATACTGCAGTTAGGCTGCAAATGGACAAATCTCTTTGTGTGAAGCCAAAGCTGCCAACAGCAACGGAGTCGATTCACTGTCCGCAGGCATGTAGAGCCGAAGAAAAAATTCAGCGAGTAAATTCTCCAGCTTTCAGCCCTGTTTAGCATCAGGCCGTCTCTGTTGAGCATCAGCTTGGAACGGGCTGAGCTACAGCTAGGCGATTTCTGCTCCACTAGACATATTTACTGAAGACCCTGAGCATATGCAATAGAAGTGGCCTTTTCGCACGCGTTTTATGTTGCAGAGAAGGGCTAGCTTCATACTTCTACTGTAAAGGTGTTTGCCGTGTGCATGTCCGGTAGGTTAATGTATGGATTGTGCGTAAACGCCCCGATTCCTCAGTTCGCTCACTTACTTGCAGAAGCGCTATCAGTTTTCGTTCCCCTCTCAGGTGAGGGCATGGGGCGAGGGAATCTTTATTTGAATTTGATACTCGATAACGTCCTGTGTTTTGTTAGAATTTGAGGCTATCCGTCTGCCTATGAAGTCCCTTACAGACGATTTACACTGTCTATTTTATTTTCAAGGAGCTACGGCCAGCTCAGGTACCATCTACTCGTGGCCGCGGATAGTTGCCACTACTAAAAACCCACATTCTCTTATTTGCGCCGCCAGTTCTTGTGTTTCATTCCCTGATGTCCAAAGAGGCCACACCACTATATTTTAAACAGTTAAAGCCATAGCTTTCCCTGGATTATAAAATCATCTCTGAATCTGTGGTAAGGATGCCGGCTCTGTATACACCCCTTGATATTAAGATTTCATGTAGTTCTACTGGTCAAAACTAATGTCTGTGGATGTACTTCTGCGAATCTATTTTAAATGCGTATGTACACGCTTCCTCTGTACCGCCTAAGTGTCCTACTAATTAACTGGAATTCAGGTGTTGCACTCAGGATGCAGTACTCGAAAGTCTCTGCTTCCCGTATGTGTGGCACAAGTCAATCTGAGTCCCTGTCATGTTGATTGAGTGATTGGCCAGTTCTAGCTTAATAACCATCAGAGGTGTAATACTGCTATTTATAGCTTCCCAAGCAAAGCCCTACGGAAAGGCTTAAGACCAACAACGTTATTTAGCATTGACGACACACTATACCTGGGCAAAGAGATGCAAAAACATGGGGGAAGATTGTGAAGGTTGCCCCACATCACACTTGAGGAGAGCGTTGCGTTAACAACAATCTACCTTGGATTCATGGATTCCTGTGAATCGGGAGAGGCTCCGCCTACTCAACTATTGGAGAGGCCCTATGTACAAAAAGGGCGCATTTTTGATTGTGTTTTGGCGATACTTCCCTTTATTTATTCTAAGGGTCTTCGCCGGACAGTATGACAGTAAGACATAATGCGCCTCCTTTGTAGCAAAGTTGATGCTCTGGGAGCCAGGTATTCCACTTACTGCAGGTCACCTTCCTCCAGGCTTAGCACAGCGCCAATTTTTTTCTTTTCATTAATTAACGTTTGTTGCATCTAAAATTAATATTAGAGCCATGAAGACCGAGTTGGGGGTGAGAGTCTGTGGCATCATCTCCGGGAAGCATGTGTAGATTTCAAAACAGCTCATTATCCACTTCGAAGTAACTTGTCAGAATTGCGCCCTACACACGCTCTTCATTCTTATTGACCCTTTACCACATGACTTGCTCATCCTCCCCGCCGCAACTGGCTCTTCAGATCTCAAGCGTTCCGCAGCAAACTTCTTTACCTCAAATTCGCAGACACACATGCGTTCTTAGACGCATGTGTTTTTGCGTGGGCCCTTGATGCTGTTCTGCCTTTATGTTCAACGTTGCTATAAACGCTTCTTGTTTGAATTCTTTTGGGGTCAGCACGTCGTTGGTGGATTTAGCGTAAGGAACCGGATATCCACCAGCTGGACTTCGGTTGCCTTCTAGGCCGCATATATCTTAGTGAAACAAATCTCTAGGATAAATTTAGCGGCAAGCCGCATTTCACGTCACCCCAAGATTCTTGAAAGAACTGCTTGTGGTTAATATCCCCTCATTGTACATTCTTTCTTATCCATAGCAAGTTTAGAGTCCCCAAGTGCCTTTTCTTGCATTTAGATTGTATATTACGAATACTGCTGCATTTAAATGAGCTTGAAGCGCCTCTCGCCCAAACATCAACCTAGCTCATCCTGTAGTAGACTGAAATCTCGGCAGCACAGCAACGGCTACAGAGGGGCGGTCGTAAATCGAAATGCCAGTTGAGAACAGAATGATGACACAGCATGCCCTAATAGGTCAATACTTGTACAAGGTAGTGCCCTTGGCAGAAAAAAGCTAGCCTTAATCGGTTACAACCTCCCGAGAAGCATAATGAGTTTCTGAAGATGACCCCATAAAATTGCGTCGCTTTGATGCGAACGTGCCTACTAACAAGAGGACAATTAACCTTGGTTGCAGGTGATATTACTTCAGTTCAAACACGTAGCTGGTGGTCACTAAAAGTAAGTTGAACTGCGTCGAGGAGACTGTGCTCTGCTAGAAAGGTGTAGCTAGCCAACACGACTTACAGCCAGTGTGATCAAATTATAAACGCAAAAGACTGAGTGCATCTATGCCTGTCTTAAAATCCCGAAGCCTTCCAAACAAATTTTACCAAGAAAGAAGCCACCATGTTGTGGCTAGGGGGCAACTGATTTCCCCGCCTTCTGGGCGGCAAAGCAGGATGATTTTCAGGGTGCTGGGGCAATCATGGCCCCAGCCTCAATCACGGAGCTTCATACTGCAGAGGGGTGCAGCGATTCACGGAGCCTTCAATGCAATCCGCAGTAGTCAAGCGGCTACATGCAGTGCTCTCCCCGTCGTGCACAAATCCCTTACTCGTCTTGAAGCATGTGCCTCCGGAGCTAGTTGTACCAAAGGAAAGCTCAGAGGAAGGACCAGCAGAAGAACGATCCTTCGTGGTTTCTTCACAGGACACTGAAGTTGAGGCCAGGGGGACCAATGGGCGCATGGTGTTGACATCCCAATGAGCGCTGCGTTGAACAGCCAGCACTTCCTTTCCAGTGCGCAATCCTTCGGCTAGGCGTTCGTTGTTCGCTGCGCATTTTGGCTTGAATTCTCCCAAGACATCAACAGGAACTGCAGAGCCTGCCTCGGACGCTGCACACCCGGATGCGTTGAGAGAGCAACACGGGCCAGCGCCAGCAGTGGTTTTGCAAGGAGCTTCATCTGAGGCCTCTCTTTCCTCTAGAGAGGTGGCGTTCGAGACACTGCATACTTCTTCCGCTAACGCTGGATCTGGAGGCTCCACACAGGGTGCACTTTCAGCTGGTTCAGGCTGGAGCTTCAGGACCTCGGCGGCGCCAGTCGCCTGGGGAGGCACGTCTTCCGCAGATTCACCAACCTTAGCGTCGCCGTTGGCTAGCGGCGAAACAAGCTGGCTGAATTGCCTTAAGCGGTCAATCGCCATATCTCTTGCCTGGAAGAAGCCGTGAACTGCGCAAGTGTATCCCTTCCAGATGCGGCGCCCGCTTGCCGGGTCCCTAACTCGTGCATACCAGCGGCCAAGGACTCTATTATAATTCAGATGTGGAATGCGCGGAAGCTTTCGCGCTTCGCTTTCCCACCGCAGGAGCTGAGCCTTTGTGGTTGTTGCCCGTTGGGGGGGGGGGCCACCTCCGCTGGAGCCGCCAACTTCTGCAGTCGTTGCCATGGAAGTAGAGGAAGCGGCGGATTCTACGTTGCCTTTGCGGTGGAGTTTCAACACAGTGGCCTTCCGCGTTCTCATGGCTGGCTTGGAAGCGGAGGCATGCCTCTTTGTTTGACGAATCAGAGGTTGCAAAGCATCCTCCGCTGCAGCAGCTGCTGTGAGCTGCAGTAAGCTGCTCGGGAGCTCCGTGCACAGAGCCTCCAGCACTGCAGTTTCGGAGAGCTGTGAATCTCTGCCGCCTAATGCCTGGCCCTGCCTGTCGTCGTTTGAAGCCTCTATAGTGGCTGCGCTTGGCATGGGGATGGGTAGAGGAGTCCAGGCAGAGCTAAGAAGGTCGAGGGATTCGGCAGCTCGGCGGTAGAAGTCAGCAACTCGACAATGCAAGGGAAATGCCTTGTGGAATTCACCGTCCTGCCACACACCTAGCAGCGGCTGTGAGGACTCAGAGCGCGGCACACAACACGAGAGGCCATGCAGTCGCCCACTGCGGAAGTGACCGAAGAAGGCTGTACCTTGAGGAACCACAAAAATGCCTGCAGCAGAGACAAAGGCAAGAACGAGGCACAACAAAGCGAGTTGCTCACTGCACTTTCGAAAAGGTCTTTCTTGTGCAGCAGAGCCACTGAGAAAGGTTGCGCGTATTACACGCAGAGAGAGGCGGCTCTGCATGATGGTAAAAGTATGAAAAAAGCAGCCGAAATAAAGGGGGAGAGATATACCAGGTCCATTCTGTTCGTCTGCTTCGAAGTGTCCCCTATACAGAAACCCGTTGGGGGAGATAAAGAGGCCATAGCCGTTCAGGCGACCATGAGACCACTGGCCACAGTACACTGAAGAGTCGGTGTATCTGTAGACGCCAATTCCATGTAGAGCTCCTCCATTCACGTTGCCGCAGTACAGACTGCCGTCCTCCCACGTTAAAAATGTGAGAGGGCCTTGATCCACCGGGAGCGTCTCCGCAAGCTTGGAGAAGAGGGCAGTGCTGGTGTTTTTCTGTGTCGACCCCCCTTCTGAAAAGTGCAGGCCGGCACTTACGGAGGCAGTGGCTTCAGTAATCACCCTGCCTCTGTCTCTGCACTCCGCCTTCCGTGGACTGGCTGCGGAGATGTTAGCACCAAACGCGCTGTTCGCGTCGTGCGGCTGCAACGGAGCACCATTGTACGCAGCCCTCGCTGCCTCTAAAGCCCATTCAGATCGTCCCCTTTCCATCCCTACCTGCTTTGACACGGCAGCTGGCATTCCCCCAGGTTGAGCGGCTGGAGCCATTGCAGCGCTTCGAAGGCATCGCCTCTGGGGAACGACCTGGTCTGTAACGAGCTCCTCCGATGAAAGGAGCTGCTCAGAAGACATCCCAAGCACTAACAGACTCTTTGCGTGTGGGTTTGCCCCCGCAGAAGGTTCAGCTGATGAAGACGGGGCTTTGTTCCTGAAACAGATAAAGACGGAGATGCCTCCTCCTCAAAAATCACCACCACGCTGTTCAAAGGACAGTTCGCAGCTTGTTCTGATTTGAAAGAAAAGTGCTGCGTCAGTGGGAGGTCAATGAAGGGAAGGAGGGTGAAAGACGCAATGTGTACGGGAGGATGGCCGCTGTCCAGAGTCACCAACAAGCCCAGGTTACCCGTCGCACAGCTGGACGCTGGGGCAGAGCAGAGAGCTCAAAAAATTCCCTGCTGCGAAGCTTGATGGGAACTTGATATTGAGCAGTGAGCTAGTCTTGGGGGACTCGTAGACACCGTTGTCACGTAGTGGAAGCGTGTGACAGTTCTGCAAGTGAAACGAGGCCCAATGGTCTGATCATACGGCTAAACATGCAAAGGGAAGATGAACAAGGCTTTGAAAAGTCATCACAGTTGTGGCCGCTCCCCTGTTGATTCGTTGGACCACCTGCGGCTTTAGGCCTTTCAATGGCTGGTTCTCAACCAATCAATGAGCAGGGGAATTTAATTGGTAGGAACTGCGTGAGACAAGGCATAAATCGGCATAGATATACCAATTAAACGCCGTGGAAGCTAAACAGAATCAAAAAAGTTAGGGGCGTTTTCAGTGACACCGCCTGCTGAAGGGAGGCGGCGGGCCGTCGGCAGTGGCAGACAAGCCAGTAGCGAGGCGAACCCTGATTTCACGGCACTCATGGCAATGCGGAAGAATAATAACCACAAATTTCGGCCTCTTGTCGGAAATAGATGATGATGCACTACCGAGTCGCGCATTTCTCCCTGAGGCAGCCCCACTGGGCATTGGGCAACGGCAGCTCCACAGCCAGTGCAACTGTAGTTGCTCAGGTCAATTGAACTAAAATGGCCTTGCTTTCCAATTGCAGGAAAGCAATTGTATACGCAAAGTTTTAAAAGTATCTCTAAATGGCAAGCTAATGCCGTCATACCATGTTCTACAAAACACAAATAATACTTAATGCATTGTATCTCACAAAGTCGCTTCCCAGCCACGATTTGGGATAGCCACACGACACTGAGTACAGTGACTGAGGGATTATGAATCACAATTGGCTGCGCCATCTTCTAAGTTCAATGACACTCCAGACACCCTCCCTTGTCTTTGGGTGCCGCTTAGCCAAAGATGCCACCTCCACACTAACGCAGGCCTCGGTAATGAGGAACCTTCCCAGCAACGTTGCAGCTCGTTGGACTCGAAATAGAGCATTGCATAATCGTGGAAGTAGCGGCAGAATACCCCTTGTATGCTTTTGCTGTTACTGCTGGGAAGGCCTTAGTGAAATTGGCGACAGTAATACACCTAAACAACACCTCCGGTCTAGAGCAAGGCAACCTGGCCCTGGGTGCTGTCGTTAGTGGCGCAGTTTTCCTTGCAGCCAGAGGTTCCTTGTCTGGGGCTTGCCGATGAAAACACGCATATCAAGGGCTTTGTAGCAGCAGCAATCAAAGGAACATCGCAAGGCCTGGCCTGCCCGAGAACTTCGCTGATGTTCCCGAAGCACACACAACCATCGGCGAGTAGGCCCAATGTTTGGTAGACCACTTTCTGCTGTTGCGGTTTGACGCACTCAGGTCTGGCCTGTAGCAATACCCAGCCCGCGCTACTGCTCTGCTGCTGTTTCATCGAGCCGCCACATGGATAGGGTTATTGGTGCTCCTGCTCTCTAGAACCTCTCAAACTCCTAAAACTTGTCAAGGCGCTGCGTGGGTGTTGGCTATAGCGGCTCTCCGTGGCAGGTGCTTTAGAGCACGCGCACGAGTGCACAGCTGAACCGTGCAGTGGAAGAGGCTGCCAGGCATAATGTAGCCAAATAACTAGCATACATGTATGACCAAAAACGTTCCATCAAATCTAAGAGCTTTGAACCCTTAAAGTTGAATCGCTTTTGGGATCTTTCGACGTACACGGCGCCTCTCCTGGGGGGCGCGGTGATCTGTTGCACTGAAGCTGCAGAGCACCCAAAAGCAAACCATACATCATCATGCCTGGGTTCGTTTCTCAGTTCTAGCCTGTTGTGAAGTGTAGCTGCCTCATTCCTATCTTGTTTTTCACGTAAACACCTTTAGACATGTCGCTTTGCTGCCTGCTTTCAAGCCTTGAGGCGGGCCCAAAGAGCCTGTGTTCTCTGTAAGAGAGCTAAGTGTGAAGTGAAGGCTTACGGCCGCACGCTGGGGCTTAGGTTCCCCACTGCATCAAACGCCAGCGGCCGCCTCGCTTCCCCGTTCTCAACAGCAGCTAAAGTATTGACATTACTAGTTGTAGTGCCAGGTTGCATCTGCGAGCACAGCATGCAGGGGCAAAACAGATGACGGCGTGCTGTCAGCATGTTCAGACCCTACAGCACATTTGAGGCAGCAAAGGAAAGTGAAATCGCAGTGCTCTATGCCTATCTTAGCCATACGTGTGAAAAACACACTTTAGTTGGGAGACCGTCTGCGTGCAGAAAGCTCCAAGTATCATCGCTCCACAGCTCCTGCTGCTGGCTGCGCTTCTTTCTCCTTTTGGGATTGCGCAGCAACGGAAGCAACTGCAGCATTACGGGGCCTACCAAAAGATAGTCGCCTACTTTGGCGGAGAAATCGCTGTATACTCTCTGCAAATGCAGCACTCACTCCCTGAAAAAAGGTTGAAAGAGCTCTACAAAGCAGTGCCGCATATCTGCGCGCCTGTAGACCGTGCTTTTCGCGAAATTTACCTCGATTATGCCGAGGGCACCGAGCTGTCTGTAGAGACGGAGCTTTGCTGCTTCGCTGCTAAACCGTACTGGAGAAGTAAGGAGAGAAACAAGGGGTCCTCTAAGCTCAAAACAGCGCTGGTTCTCTGCAAAAAAGACACTGCACCAAGCACGACTCGAAGTATGGTTAACTGTGTTCCTTCTAGTGTAGGCTTAGCTGTGTTCTGGGGCTTTGCTAAGGCTGCTGCTTTTCATGCGGCTAAAAGAATTCCCCTTGATGCCGCATCCCAAGCTGTTCATGTCTGCATAGGCTTTAGATCTGTTCACACTACCCTTTTAGGTGTTGCTCTTGCGACCAAAGACATACTAGTGCTGTCTTCACTCTCAAAGTCTGGAGCGGTCTGCAACAGATCTCGACTATTCAGAAGCTGCTCCAACGTTCTCTGTCCGGGAAGCTCCACGAGACTCCACTTGTACGGATCGTCTAAAGAAGGAAAGGAGGGATGTGAATGCCGTTTGCTGGTACTGGCTACCCGTAAGGGTGGAGCTGCAGCAGGACGCCGCATCAAGTGAGTGCCAGGATGCTGCTGCTGCTGCTGGAGCTCGCGCACAGTAAAAAGCAGCAGACTGCGGGGCAGCGCTGCTGCGACAGCCGAATACGCAGACAAGAACGCTTGGCGGTATGCCCATGAATCCAGTTGTTGCTGCTGCTGCTGGTGTCGTTGTTGTTTTTGGTCGCCGTAGTGAAATAGCAGTTGCTGCTGCTGTTTCGCACTGAGAGGTGCTGCTCCTGCAGCGACTCGAAGGGATCTGAGAAGTTCCTGACAACCAGCGCCAGTGAGGGCTGCAGCAAGAAGCAAGCCACCCCAAAACTTTCCAGTGAAAGGAAGCACGTGTTACAACCCTGCACTCGGAGGAGTTGAAGCAATGGGGAGACAACCTCCATCGCTCATGGGCAGCACAACGGATGTGAAGCGTTGAAAGCGCCAGAGATATTCGCAGCTGTGCTACAGGTGCAACAGTAGCAGCAGCCCTTACCCGAAACGGCATGAACTTCAGCAATCCCCGTTTCCCGTTTCATCATTTCCACCAACTCCGTTGCTTTCAGTTTTCCTTGCCCTTGTTCCTGTTCTTGTTGCTCCAGAAGGTCGACCTTGGTGAGGACAAGGATAGCCGGAAGCTGCGCCAGATGAGGATTTGCGTGAGCCAGTTGCTGCCGCACCGTCAGGTATGCCTTCGCTGGTTCCTGTGCGGTCAAGGCGAATAAAGCAAGTCTCCATACTGGCACTCACTAAGGTTCTTAGAGATTGGATAGACTCATAAAGAGGCAGCAGGGATGAACATCGGGGTTTACGTTGCTCCTGCAGCTGTTCTTGTCATGGATAATCTCTTAGATGTTCAAGAAATGCAAAGGCTGACCGGAAGAGATCCGTCAACGACGACTAGAACCGCCGTAGCAGCACTTAAACCCTGCAGCGACGTTTCGTGCGGAGCTGTTTCTGGGGGGAGGAGACTGTCGGTTTGCGCTTCTGTTCCGTCGGCTGCATCTGGTGCGGCAAAAGGAGCAGGAGAAAGCCCTGGAGTATCGAGAGCCACAATCGGCGCTGCTGCAGCCAATTTGACACCCTCTTGCAGCGTTGCCAACAGCCCCCCCTCTTGCTGAGGCACAGAGCCTTTTTGTGCTGCTTGCTGCTGTGCCTCTGGCACCTCTGCTGCTGTACAGGGAATGACGCAGACAGTTGGCTCGGTGGTGGGGAGCCACACATCCGCTGGCACAGCAGCAGACACCCATTGTTGCGGCTGCTTCTTGAGTTCATCGACTTGCATTTCTGCTGCCTGTCTGAAGGCACTGTCATCCGGCTGCGTGAAGCTCGCAGCACTTCCGAAGCTTGCATGCACATCAGCGGCGACGGAGGCTGCAGACCCTAAGGCGCAGTCAGAAGCTGCCGTGCCGAGCCTTTGCAGCAGCGTGGACTTGCCGCTCTGGGTGAGACCGACAGCAACGAAGTCGGCGAAATTTTCGAGCACCAGCAGCTTCCTCCGTTCTCCTGGGGAGCCAATCTCCCCAACTAGGGGATGGCGGTTACTGCAAGAAAAGCAGCAATCAGCGAGGGCAGGGGTGGAGGCGAGTATTCGGGCACTGGCAGGTGGACGAGTGTCACCGAATTTCTTTAGTGGTTCTGGCTGGAGGTTCCCCAGTGAGCTACGGTTAAGATTTAGGACGGTGTGTAGGGCGTCGGGTGAAAACAAGGCATGAAGGGATTACTGGTTCGAGACGAAGGCAGCATTTCCTCTGCCTCCCACACCTCCGCGTGCGGCTACCAGAGTTTCTCCAGGGGTCGAGAAGTACACGCAGCAAAGTGGCTGCTGCTGGTCTTCTCGGGGGTCGTGTTCCTCTTCTTCCTGTTCTTGCGTTACTTCTTCCTCTTCCTGCTGCTGCCGCTGCAGCAGCCGCCTTACAATGCTGGCGGCTCGCGCTTGCAGCGGCGATACATCGAAGACCAGCGCATTCGGCGAAAGCCCTAGTACCAGATCAGGTCCGTTGCACTGCAGGAGAGACACCACAAGGAGCGACAGCCTACATCGTCAAACGCCACTAGCATCCCCCTTTGCAGGAGCATCCAGAGAAGACATTTTTCCGGCGACACTAGACGTGACGCAACTGCGAGGGAGCCTTTCATACCCCCGTCCTGCCACGACCTCCACCAGTCACCCCGGGAGCTGCCTTCCAGTAGCCGCTTTCTCGCAGAGACGAGGAAGTCTTGGAGTCTGCCAGAGCCTCTCCAGGCCCGCTTACTGCAGTCAGCAACACACAACCCCCCCGACCCCCGCTTCCCCCCGCGGCACCGCTGCGAGGGGCCGCTCTGAGGCGAAGAAATGCAACAGAGCCGTCTCCGCCGCTGCCCCCTTCTACCGTTACTGGCGTACATGTGCCTTCTGCGGTAAAAGCAGCCGACGCTTCTGCCGTCCCCGCATGCGCTTCCTGCGCTAATTTCCGCTGCTGCTCCAGTAAGCGCCGCGAGCCAAGCGCAAAGACGAGGGAGGGGCTTAGGGAGAGGCCACCACCAAGTAGGCGGTAAGGGGACACTTGCGGATTGCCTGGCACAGAGGCTTCTGCTGCGATCTGGTTCGAAGGAAGCGCTTCCGACCTGCCATCGCAACTGGCAAGCTCCATGCCACCGCCGATCCGCTTAGAGGGGCTGCTGCAGGGGGCACTGCTACGGAAGCGTTGCGCACGCCTGTTTGGATGGCACATCCAAGAGGGATGCCATCGCGGCGATACGGCTGGGCCCGCCATAGGCTTGCATGGGATGTTCCGCTTCAAGCGCCTACAGATCGACGCGCGCTGGGAGAAGCGTTCGCGGCTGGTGTGTTTGGCGGTGCTCGTCGAAGGCGTCAACAAAAGGAGCAGCAGCGGCAGCAGCAGCCGCAAGAGCCGCAGAGGGCCCCTTCGGAGGGATCCATGCCTCATTTCCCATCCTAATTCGCAAAGACAACGCCCAAATTTTTAGACGCATCGGTCATAGTCAGAGGAGCGGTCTCGTTGCTCGCGAAGGCTCGCAACGGCTTCTGTTGCTGCCTGTCCGACTGACTGTCCCTTGTGTCTTTCTCCGGCGACAACTATCCTTAAGGGTTCCACAAACACAAATACTTATAGTCAGATATCCTGCAGGCACCGTTTCTGCAGGGGGTCTCCGCTACACGACCTTCTGCTGTCTCCAGGGGGGCCCCTCTAGGGGGCCCCTCAGACGGAGATTCGGTGGACCGCCGGACATGCTTGCTCTATTTAGCCTTGTTCCTGCACCCTGGCTCCTCTTCCAAACATGAATTTCGACGATAATTTTTTGGGGCTTGATTGCAGAAGGACGAAATGTCAACAGGCACGGCTGTGCCTTTTAATGCCCATACCAGAACAGCACTGTCTAGCTGACCCTTCACCCTGGTACTTATGAGACTACGGCTTTCCCTCTGTGGTGATTCATTCTGCTTTTCGGGCACGCTGCCTGGCAAATTCGAAGTCGCTGTTCATTCCCTTTTGCCAGGCTGGCCTTCAACGGTGCCGCAACTGTCTTTCTTGTGAGGCCAAATGGACCTCTTTTTCCGGAAAAATCGACAAACTCCCTCCGAATCACCTCAGCAGGTGCAGGAGCAGTCCAGCAAAGACACCCCTAAGCCTCCCAATGCGCCGAGCGGCCCGGCCCAAGCGGTATTGGCAGCCCGTGCGAGTCCTTACTTTGGGGAGGATGTTGATGATAAGATCGAGGGTACTGGCTGTTCAAAAGAATATGGAATTCTGCAGGATTGTCTAGATGATACAGACAAGTATGTTCCGTTTAGGCAGTGTGTTTTCCAGCATAAAGGGCGTATTAGAGGCGTGAGCACTCGGTGTGGCCGCCAATCAGCAAAAGCCCTTTCTATGCCGCTATTCGCATGCTTTCATGCCGTAAATGGAGGGAGGTACAGCCGCCGCCAGTTACGCCTGTCCTTTGATCGAGGTGGCACTTCTACAGACTTGCGAAATATCCCAATTGTAGGGAAGGGAAAACGACACGTACCCACGGAGGAGCCAGCAACAAATTAAGGCACAGCCAAAGTGAGAGAAAACTCGAAGCCGTTTAAAGCCCATGAATGCGGTATTTTGTTTGTTCAGGGATTGGCGGAAATGTCAGAAGCAACTGCGCTCATTCCAGCAGTGCTGCCATCACAACTCTGTAGCCGGCGCTTAGTAGCCTCAATTCATTGTTTTGTCTCTCAGACGGCCCCGTTTGCAAACTAGATAACGCATGCTGCTCCCCCTGCAGAAAATTTGATGCAGCTGTAGGACTCCTTATCTTTGGAACGGCTATCTTAAACTTTTTGAACTGTTACACAAATAAGACTTGGCCGAAGTGTTAAGCTCCTTCCGTTAGGGTATGGCACGGCCCTCTTGACGGTGCTCTTAATGTTTTTGCCCTGCTGCCATATAGCTGTAGGCACTAGTCACTGACTATCTCGATCACCTTTGGCCTACTCTCGGGAGCGTCCTTCGGGCAGTGCTGTTGCGGAGATGGCCGTTGACTTACTTGAGGCTGCTGCCGTTGCTTCCGGGGGCCCTTGAAGAGGGCAAGCAATTGTTGGTGATGCTGCTGCGCCATTTTTTGGCGTTTTTGCTGCTTAAGCCGCTGGTGGATTGGAGGGGAAGGACAACGACGGCGCTGGCGCGGGTGGTTGTCTTGGTGGTGCTGGTGTCGAGTAGCACTCAGATGCAGCTGTTTAGAGTCCGGCTGTTGGGTGGGAGTGGTGGAGGTGCTGATGTTGCTCTTCCCCGCTACCTCTACTGAAGGCTTCCTGCTGCTGGGAGAGCTCCGCTGTCGTGCCTCCTCTCGTGCAGCAGCCATATCGATCGGGCCCAATGTTTTTGCTACGGGTGCAGCCACTCCTAATGCCTCTGCCTTATTGACATGCGCGCCATCCGCCTTTTGGCACTCGAGCACCGCAGGCCTTCGTGGTGCCTCATCTGTCTCTGACTGTGCTGGTATTGGTGCTACTGCCGCGTGTGAGGGCTGCCCCTCGTTTTCATACTGCGAAATGACAGCGAGAAGATCGTCAAGTTCCTCGTCCTCGTTGCGCCAACCCCCCTCCCCTGCGGCGTCTGTATCACTTGTTGCCGCACTTTCAGCATATTTCTGCAGTGGCTGTCGCTGCTGCAAGAAGAACTCTTCTAGCCTTCGCAGCCCACTGCTCCGTGCCTTAGCCTGTCGAAGACCGGCGCACCGCACGCCTAATAATCTCACCCATGCTCCTGATCTTCTCGTCTGTCCGGTGTTGCTGCTGGTTCCGTTTGCTTGCTGTTTGAGTTGCTGCCCCCGGAGGAAGGACTGTAGCAAGCCCTGTGCTGCAGTCGCGATTGCTGTGCTATCGTCAGTGTGTTGCAGTAGCCTGTGGGAAATTGTTCGAAGCGAGAAGTCCGCGAGTTTTATTTTAAGGGTTATATGGTCGCTTTCCTGTCCCTGCTCTCTCAGCTGTTCGGCAACCGCTACTGCCAGCTGGTGCACCACTCGCCGCATGGCTGGAGGCTCGTTTGTTGCAGCAAACGTCTCCTCCGAGCTAATGCTCTGCTGCTGCTGCTGCTGTTGCTGCTGCTGCTGGAGCTCGGGCGGCATCCCGTCCACCCCCAAAGCAAGACGTAGGAGATGGACCGCTGTAATGCGGGGCAGTAGATGCAGCAGAAGAGGGGCCTGCTGCAGCAGCTCTCCGCACGTGTGAATCTCCAGGGCATTGAGCATCTTTTCTCTGTGTTTCCCAACACCGGGCAGTTTCCGTATGCTTAAAGGCTCCAGGAATGCTGCTGTTGCCGCTGCTTCTGGTGGTAGTGATGGTGCTGCTGCTGTAGCGAGTGGCACGATCTTCTGCCCATTAGGCTTGTTCATATCTGATGCGACCTTAGCTACCAAGCGACTCGAGGCGGCACCAGCGCTGCAGCTGAGTCCTGTGGCAGCAGAAACAGCGGCTCGAATCTCCGTCACAAGCGCCGTTACCGGATCTGCCGCGGTTGATGAGTCTTGGGTCCCTTCTTCCGTTTGCGAGATGCACACTGGAGAGTGTGCCCCTGATTCGGTGTTGTCTTGGACTCTTGCGCTGAGGCAGACAAAGGAACGCTCACTGAAGCTTCCACGCGTTAGCCGCTACAGTGCGACAAGAAAGCTGCAAGGGCGGCAGATTCTATCGTGATGCTACCGATGCTCAGAGAATAAGAGGCCGCGAGATTGCACAGAGACCACGAAATTCGCATTGGCATAGGAGGTGGGGACGGGTGTCACGCACAGCCACAGAAAAGCACTTGCACGGTGTGCCAGGTAAAGAGAGGTATACCGAGAAGGTGAATAAGCTGAACAAAGGAAATTACAGAAGCAGAGACCAGGCGGGATACATACGCGACACGCTTAGGGAGGGAAAAGGACGGAGATGGACAGAAACCGGAAAAACGGCAGCAACAGCCACTGTAGACGAGAAGACTTCGTGCAGCAAAGGAGAACAGCTACACTCGCAGCTCACTAAGAGATATGCATAGACGGGGAGAGGCAAACACTGTCACACAAACAGACACGGCATCGGGAGACATCTTCGCCTGGCCCACTCGGTGTGACGGTCTCGGTGGGTATACAGCCTTTACCTTAAGTAGTCCGTTACATCCAGAGAGGCTTCATCAAGCGAATGGGAGGAGAAAGTTGGGTCGTACTTCTCTAAGACGCGCCTTACAACCTCCCCCGCTGCCCGATACTTGCTAAAGCTTGGGGGCACTATAACTAGAGACGGGCAGAGCTGCTTGGCAATGAAGCCTGGCATTGCAGACCTCACACCGAAACGCCTAGCTGCGTAATTTGCCGTGGCCAGCATAGACATTGAGCCAACAGCCATTGGCACAGAAGCCAGCGAAGGGTTATCTCTCATCTCCACTGCACAGAAGAACATGTCCATATCCAGGTGTACATACATTCGACCAGCCTCCCGCTGCTGCTGCAGATGCAGCAGCTGCAGCACGCGGCGAGCGGCCGCAGACGCGGTGGGGCAGCCACCAGAAGATGCAAATAGCTGCACGCGGCGTTTTAATACGACCAACTGTTGCTCCATTTGCTTGCTTTTTCTGAGTTAGTAAACACAGCAACGACAGGGTAGACGGAGCAGAAACTCTCTGGTAAGGCAGCGAAGATATGATGGCTAGTATGTAGGGTCTAATGAAGCGGTTGCAGCCAACATATGCAGCTTCCACCCTCTGGAGGAGGTAGAACACACAGTGCCTAGAGGCCACGGGATTGCAGTCTGTTGCTGCACAATTGCGAGACAGCAGCACGGAAATTCAGATCGGATCAGAAGCTGATGCAAAAAAGAACAGCTCGAGGAAGAACAAAATCCGAGGCATCCCACCGAGCGAACGCATTTCTGTGAACCAATATGTGTAAAAATACTCTGTTCCATACCTCATTTCATTCGCAAAAAAAGGCGAATTCTTGGAAAGCTCGAAGATACGCGCTGCTATCTTTGCCTTCTCCTCCTCTGTCATGTCCATCCCCGCCTTATAATTTCCAAATATAAACGTCTGACGGCAGGCAATCTCAATACTGGATGCTGTAGAACACTCCACACCCTGTGGTGGCGCTCCCAGAGGTGCTTCTCGCTCATCAACGAGGCAGTCGACCCGCATCCCTGTAGCTTCATCCTGCGGAGATACATCCACATCTCTTCCAGCTCCCCCAGACTGCTGATTAATGCGTTTCACTGATTCCACATGGGGACTCTCTAAGGAATACCTGTGGATGCCTCCACGGTTTCCCTGGCGAGACGAATCTTCTGTGAGCGCAGTTGCTCCATTCTGCTTAGGGTCTGCAGAGCATGCCCTCGGGGAGGCATACACCCCAGTCTCCATTCCCCCAATGTTTGCAGCGCTTGTAGCCTCCTTTTTTCATAGACGGGCTGCATGTACTTTCATGCATGGATTCCTGCTCCAGCTGAGCTTCATCCAAAAATGGACAGCCAACCATAGTGATGCACATTGGAGAACCTTGGGAGTAGAAGCACATGCCTACGGGCCTATGGCCTTCAAGGCAATGCCCTCCTCCATGCCGGTATGTCTGCTGTACTCCCCGTAGTTATGCGCGCAGGTACTACATGCAACGGAAATTAGTTGGGGGATACACGCATCAGATGAGTTAAAGCGTGCCTCACTCTGTGGCTCATACAAAATTGATGCCCTTAATGGAGCTAACATGATGCCATGCACAAAGCGGATATGCGCTTTGGGGATCAGGCTCGAGGGTCCGCTGCCGACTGCATGCGCTGACGCGTTCAAAGCACCAGTTTGTACCCCGCATTCTCTGCCATCAACCTTTTCCTCCACTACCATGCTTCTTTACATTTGTTGCGTATGAGCTTCTATCGCTCATCAGTCACTTGAGCTCGACAATGGGCATTTTCCGTTTACTCAACATGGAACCCCAATGGAGTTCAGAGGCGCAAAAGTAATCACCTCAAGTGAGTTGCTCACACATTCCTGCTCTTTAAATCTCTCGCTTGAGCGCCTACGGATGTTCAGATGTTGGTCTGCAAGGAGGGGCTCCACTGCGGTTTCGGTTTGCCGCGGAGCCATCAAAGGTGCAGCACCAGTCGGCGCTCCAAACATTAAGGACACGTATTGAGATGCTGCTGCGCCAAGTACCTTTGTACAACCCATGAAAATGGGAATTATGTCTCGCACTTGTGCGAACAGGCTTACCCCTTCTCCTAAGTTCTTATTGACTGCCTGCAACCACCGCACGAAAAAAGTCTCTGCGCAAACTGGAATAAGGGCATCAGCTGCGGCTGGCATCTGTCGTTCTAAGACTCATCCGAATTGCGCCCACCAGTATACAAGCAGCTTAAACGCGTACACTCCGTTTAAGCTTATACTGCACGTGTTACACCTGCCGTTTCAGCAAGTGGCGTGACCCAGTGCATCAACGGTAGCCGAATCGTAGCGGCCTAAGCTACACTTGTTACAACACTGGATATAACTAGCTAGGACTTAGTAAGCACCTGACTAATTAGCTTGTTCGTAAGTAAAGCCTACTTTGTGAAGAGTAATGTCATCTTGACACCAGAATACGCAGTGTGAAGTGCGCATGCGCTGTATGATATGTGCAAACTAGCTGTGATCACTCAGGGTCTTACAGAATGCAGCTAAACACACTGTAGCTGACCTCCTCTCCTGTTGAGAACTCTGAGAGCGACGAACAGGGAAAAAGGAATACCTCTGGGAGCACGCTCAAGACCTTTCTACTAAGCTGTTATTCATTCTAAAGTACAATGCCTCCCAGAGGAGACCTTTGATGGACTTTGCAGAATTGCGGGGGGCCAGAGCGTGTCACATTGGTATCATTCTGTAGCTGCAGCTTAGACTTGCTTATCAGGTTGTTAGTACCTGGGGCTACCAACTTCACCGTATTTGTTTGACTTTCCAACTTTACCGAAGAATGTTGGTGTCCAGGAACAAGTCCTAGAGGGCAGAACTAGAGGACTAGTAGCGGACCAATAGGTGCACGGACTGTTCCAGCTAAGTTTGGTCCACGTAAGCCATATTAAAGCGCGATTATCCTTCACTTTGCTGACGCTCCTAGACTCGCATTTGGTATCCACAAAAGTGGCGATGGAGTGTCGTTACGGGGTCGCCTTGTCCATCCCTCCAGGTCAGTCTGGGGCAAGGAGTACCGTGACTATTGCCACCCACATTATTTAGGGGCTGCAGCCAACATCTCTAAAGGTAGATAGCCTAAAAAGAACTCTTTGCAGACCGCTGCCTAGTAGACAACCGGTCCAAGGGTGTTGAGAAAACCGCAGCTTAGTGTCACAGCAGAGCTACACCACCTGATTCGTCCGTTATGTGATTACTGACCAGATGTAGAAAACAGCAGGGAGGGTGGCAGCTGCTAGCAAGAGGACTGAACGGAACGTACTTTAACAGTGGCATATGTTAGAGCTGCAAGCCCTCGTTGCGCTTACATGCCCTACCTACACTACACTAAGCTTATCTGGGCACGTACAAGATACATACTCAAACAGAGTAAAGGCAGACTGTAGAAAGCACCGAAGGAGGAACTCTCCTGGTAAAAGAGAGCCGAAATTGCAGAGCACGACCTGCAGCGACCAGGTAATTCTGCGTTGAGGAGGCACATGGGGCCGTCCGATTTAGTGCATCCCACATGCGCTACTGTTCCTTCAGGAGTTAAAGGCCCAATAGAGCTTTCATCCCTAGGGCATCACTGTTGAGGAGAATCACTGTCCGATGCAGAGCCCTCTGAGCTTTCTTCAGATTCGTCGCTCAGCAAGCAGTCCTCTTCTTCCGAAGACAAGCAGTCATCCTCCTCTGCCATACCGTATCTTTCAAGTATTTGTTGTCTCTGCTCGTCTCGCATTTGATCTAAATGAGTGGCGATGATGCTTGTTGCTTGATGGATCAGCTGGTGCAGCATATATCCCAGAAAGAATACTAACAACCAGACTTCAGGGCGGCTCAGCACCCCGTCAGCGAATTCCCTTATGTAACGGAGCCAGCCGTGTAACCCACCTACACTCTCCCCTTGTCCCTCGTAGCCGCCAGTACGCTGCGACCGCTTCGGTGCGGTGCTCGATGAGGCACTCGGCACGCCTGAAGAACATACAGACTTTCGGCTGGAAACCACGATTATGAACAGAACGCAGAAGCTTTCACCCTGAAAAAATGGCTGAGTGAACCATGTGCCCTGAACACCACACACCAAGCCTTGCTTGAGCACTTGGAGGCAAAATGCACTCAGCAACAACTGACCGTCGAAGCAAGCGCTCTTTCCTTCTCTGGGACTTGCCGTTAGCTCGTAAGCTTCGTCGATTACAACATCATACCCCATCTTCCGGCAGAATGTGAAGCTGTCTTCAATCGCTGTGAGACGAGGCAGAAAATTTACACAAACGCGGCATGAGCGCCTCACACCGGCGCTCCCCCGTGACTGCCTTCCGAAAGCGTCTGCTGCTCTTTTTTGGCTCCGACCAGCGGAGGCAGATACGACTGCGGATGCTGGAGCGCCAGGATTAGCAGTATCAAAGAAATAACAACGCAGGACGGGTACTAGCAGAACACTACAAACACTCACTAGCAGAGAGGCGGGAGCATATGAGAGAGCGGCCGTCGCAGAAGGCTAAGTCGTTGGCACTCCCAGACGGAGAAGCCGAAACGTAGACATCTTGGCAAGCCGTAAACCTGAGCAATACATCAAACGCCTTTCGCGTCCACGGCAAAATCCAAAGCCACGCCGAGATCTGTACGCCACAGCGTTACCACGGGCAAAAGCCTTTAGCGCATACCCACACTGCTAAGGTGCAGAGGACACTACAGAATTCGCCCTATCTCCAATCCTTCACCATTCTTCACATAGATCCGGGCATAGAAGAGGTTTGCCTTTGTGCTCCAGCTCTCCAGTGCCGAATCTTGGTTCGCACAGGGAGCACAAAACCTTTTCAGATACTCTCTGTAAGAGCAGCATCCGCAACAAAAGGCAGCTAAGCAGCATTGGCAAGCGGACTTAAGAGACAAAGCCAGCAGTGGCAGATGAGCTTGGTGAATCGCCATCGTGCGTAGCATAGAAGAAACCGGTGTCCGTGAGAAGACTCAAGAGCAACTATACATGTAGCAGGAGGAAGGAGAGTTGCTGCACTCGCGGGTGCTTCTTGCGCAGCACGCTATACCACCAAACAACAGCCTCACCCTGCAATCCTGAGCATCTTCCAGAGCATTCAGGCGCCGGTGCACAAGCGCTGCGTGCTGGGGATAGCAGCAAGCTGCAGCACACAGAGGAGACGAATGGATGGGCGGGATTGCAGCAGCAGGTTCCTTGGCAGACAGCCTGGCTGCAGCAACAGCAGCACCCCAACCCCTCCCACATGACCAACATCAATAACACTAGACGTTTAGGCATGCATAAATGACTTACTATTGGCTGCATGATTCTTGCAACTGTCAAAAGCGTACTCCCGCTGGTCCTGCGGTGGGTGCCCGTCGAAGCTCAAGCGTCGGAGACAAACGACTGAATCAGAACACACCCGCCACAAACGGAATTTCACATCCCTCTGCAAGCGATCGGCCCAGAAAGCTTAGAGCACATAGCAACTATACACCCAAGAGCTAATGGAGACCACATCACCATGCAACCCTACGAATGAAGCGCCGCAGCTAGGCAGGAAAACTGCAAAACACGTTTGACCCGTCATTCAGACTTGCCATTGGCAGCGGCTGTGCCTGTCGAGGTGGCAAGGCCAAAGAAGAGCAACAGCAACGGCATGTTGAAGTTCCTGTAACTTGAAGTGCTTCTGTAGCTGCTGATGATGCTGCTTCTTGCTCGCCTCGCTGCTGCCGCTGCTGGAATGTTGCCCATTGTACACTTAGTGGCTAATCCTTCTCTCATGTGTCCTGTACCGCTGATGCGCTGATATACGCTACTGCTGGGGATGTTCTGCTAAGGCCCCCCTTGAGGGAAGTTGGCACTTTAATGCAGAGCAATTGATGCCAGATAGGCTCCCGCCGGCTGACAGAGAAGGCAGCAGGTAATGCCACCATTGATGCTTTGAAACCAACAATTGTGTGGGCTCACAGCAGCTGGTGCTGAAGCGGTGTGTCCTTCACAGGGTTACCTTTCGCCCGAGGCTTTATATTAAGTTCATGAATTTAAGCTTCAAGGCCCCAATACGGGTTTCAGCAAGCCGCAGCCTTATTACGGGAGACTATGCCTGCTGCAGTACGGGTAGCTGGGAACAATGCAGCACGGTTGGTAGCAGGAGTCACCGAGCAAAACAAGGCAGGGCCGGTTCTCCTTTAGAAATCACATCTCCCGTTAAAGTCGTATTCCTTTATCCCTTACCGTAAACCCGAGGAAAATGGAATGCGGAAGACGACAGTGGAGGATCGAGCTGCTACTTTAGGGACCTGCTCCGTTGGGGCCCTAAGGGGCCCCAACCCAGTACACATGCAGCTGCATCCCTGTTTCCACTTAGGCACTGTGTAGGCGCCTCTTTCGAATGTAGTAAAGCTGTGCATGTGTCCCAGGCTGTAGACATAAGAGGAATCTGATTGGAATCTACAAGGCTCGATGCCTGCACGAGAGTGTCTGGAGTTCTCGTGGGTCCACTGCACAACGTGAGATGTGAAAAATCTAACGGTTATTGCCTAGGGTATCTCATGAATAGCCTTTAGGGCGTTTAGGCTTTTTATCTTGCTCCATGGATTAGGGTGTACACGATGCGGCAGCAATATTTGCTGCACATCGGAAGGTTATTTTGCGCAACCGACTGGATTGCACTTGGCTTCAGCTAGTCGCCTCCCTTCCCCCTTCTGCCATGTGTCACTTCGGCATACGTCTGGGGTGATGTGCGCTGAGGGTAAACGGAAAGACACCCCTTGCAGGCAGGAGGCTGAGACGTGTCCATTACGTGGTGGTTGGTTTCCTAGCTGCAAGTCTCTATGTAGTCCAAGTGTTCTTCCGCAAAATGACACTGCGGCGTAAAGTAGTAATGTACAGGCCACGAGATCCCCACCTTGCTAAGAGCCGCAGCAGGCCACCACCCTTGACAAGGCAGCGCTTCATCCTACTGCTATTCTACATTTTGGCAGTGGTAACGAACGCAACGCCGACAGGAGCACCATACTCACGAGATTTCGACATAAACCAGAGCATCACAGGAAAGCGCGGCTGCGCCGCACAATAGCGAATTGCTGGGCCGTCGCAACAGAGTGTCGGCGACCATACTGGTTATGACCTACATTTGTTCTACTTTGCAGTTTTACTGCAGGTGCCACCCACAAGGCCCGTGAAGACCCTACCGTTTTCGAAACGCTGAAAGCTCTCGGGGAGGTACATTGAAGACTGAGGCTTCGTCTGGACACTAAAGTGACGTGCATATAAATAATGCCAGTATTTCCATGCCTCACCCCACCGCAAAGAATTTCGTTTTCCGCATTGGATACCGCTTATCAATTCCGATAGACCAGCCAGACTAACAAGCAATACTATGATGGTCTCGAAAGTTCATGGCCTATAAGTAACGTCTGGTACCCACATCTAAGTCAATGGCATTGGTTGCCGTGAGAGAAAGACGCTCTAAGTAGGACAGAACTACTACCGGAGGAGTTATAAGGCGGTCGATAAGCGCCCTCATAGGGGCATGAGCCTCCTCCATTCAGGCTATAGAGACTGCGAGTCTTCAATAAAATTGGCACAGGGGCAATGGTTCGAGAAAATCTGGAAAAGAAGTATTGGTGATAAGATGCAGGTTAGTACATTCCAATTCCAAACAGGGGTGGGCACAAATCAAGGCCAAACCTTGATTGCCTCAATTTTCGTCGGGCGTGGCTCAAATCCTGCAGTAGAAGCACGACATTCAAGAAGCAACTGTATGCCTTCGCATACCACTGCTTGTCCTGTGACAGCTGAAGCGCATGCTGTTGGTGCTGTAGGGGCTCATGAACGCTTCGGCTGAAGGCCAAGATGCTTCCTGTGTGGGTAGCCTTACAAAATTTCTGAATGACCTGCTTTTTTAGTTCAGCTGGGGCATCAACAAGTCAGCGAGTATACCCGAGCTAGAGAGTATAAGCGTAAAGTGCCTGCCAACTGGGTGAATGGGGTTTGAAAGAGCGGATTTGTGCTGTCAAATATTAAGAGTACTGTCAATCCATGCAACCTGTCAAGAAATTCGCCAATAGGAGACTTAGTAAATTTTAGCTTGGCAGTAATCTTGCTCAGAAATATAAGACTGACGCAAAAAGGCCAGTGTCCGTCTTTTCTGGGTAACAGCAGCAGGTTATGCCTCGAGGCGCTGGCCAAATTTTACACCTTGTCTTTTCAAGAAGCCCTCTACCTGCTGCTCAACCTTCTCTTCAGCATGTGAAGACTCATAGTACTGGGCAAAATATATTTTGGGAATGACCGGGGTGCGAGCGCAGTACGGTTTCCTGGACGACCAGCAGTTGGCCAGCCTGCGTGCAGCTCGTCTGTGTTTAGCACACCACCGAACTTTCCCTTCATGCTTGCCCATTCCTGCCCTTCTTTGGCTTATATGCCGATCTACTAGCGTAATAAAGATCCAGCTGCACAGGCAGTAAGACGGGATGTATGCTCTGGACCGTCTTCTTTTGGTGCTCTGCTGAGCCGCCCCCATGAAGACTTCGCGGCACCTTGGTGAGATTTGGACTGTGTATCACTCAACATAGATCAGATAATTGTTGTTGAAAATGTCAGGAGGTTCCTACTAGCCGTTTCTGGGACACTGCTCTCTAAAACGCGCAGCTGTGGTTGCCTGCGCACCCTCCATCGGGTTACCCATGGCGTACCTTACATTATATCCTGGTGCGTTTGAGCCAGCATACATGCTGCGGACGACACTTACAGAGCTCGATTGCCATTTCACGCTGCGTATAACTGCTGCAAAAATGCAGCAGTTATACCGCGGTAGTGCTTCTGGTGGATCCCCGCAGTGTGGCTCTATCCTCTGTAGCCCCCTTCGCTGCTACAGAGCCCTCTTGATGTCCCTTTGTTTTCTTGATGCGCCTTGTTTGCTCCCCAAGCAGCCTGTTTCCCTGAGCCCAGTCCTGTAACCAGGTTTTCCAGCTCTTTACGTGGGCATACAACTTCAGATTATATGAATCGATGGCCCAGAACGGGAATTGGCAGGCTGTTAGAGATCCGTTTTGGGCTGCTGTGGACCGTTCCTCTGAGTTCTTCTTGGCCCACCTCAGACTGGCGATTGTGGCCTGTTGACACAGCCCCGAAAACCATAGGCTCTACTTTGCAACGTCGCACTTCGTTCTCCCCGTCAAATTCGCAGATCCTGCCCTGGATCGCTCTTGGGGTATGGAGTAGTTAATCATTTGTGGAGGCCCCACCGGTAGGTTGTTTAGTCGCTGGGGCGCTGCTTATCCTGCGGCTAGCTCTCGAGATAGTTCGGGTGGACGTGCGATGAACCACAAATTCAAAGCAACTGGATGGCCCATGTTTGGTTTTTGCGAACCAAAGCTTCAGAGTTTTCGATATAACAAGCTGCTTATGGAAAGGAATGCTGCAACCTCCCAAAGTCCGCCAAAGCTTGCTCTTGAGCCGATCCTGGCATAAACCTGGAGTCTGGGCTTATGTTCAGGTTTAAAGTCTAGTGTACACCTCAGGCGGACGAATTCCTTTGCATAAATAGAGCCTCACTCGGAGTGCTTCTCACCTCAATAAACGCAGTACAAGGCATTATTGTTCCTTCTTTTTGCAGGGGTATAAAGTGAAATACATTTCCGGCTAGCTGATAAAAACCGCGAGTATTTGCCAGCCCTTATCGCCATCACACTTTCCGGTCGGCTCACCTACATCAATGCAACCAAAGCCTTAAGGGACTGGCAAATCATGTCTTTCTTAGAGCCATGGGTATGCTGCGCTCATATTAGCTTTTGAGATTTCATTTTCCACCCCAACAGGCGTTGTACCACTGCTTACTAGGATCGTCAGAGGGTGTTCCAGATTGTTGCCAAAGAGAATCAGATTACTGACTAACATGACAGCTTGACCAAATCTAGCTGTTTGTGGTATGTAGACCTGATATCCATCTGCATTCATAGAAGGTGGATGAGAGGGTACTAGCTACTTCAAACCATGCGATGCCACCAACTGTTCTGCTCCAGCTAGGGTCTCTGTAGAACACATAATTCCAGACTCAAAACAAGCCTACCAGAGAATTCTTAAGCTTTTTCCGAGAGAGCTTCCATTTCTCCCCTCCACTCGCACCTCAGAGTTTCCGACATAAGGGGATTAGGGCAGCTAGCGCGGAGCTGCACCTTCCAAGCATTCTGGGCGTTCACAGCTAGTTGCACATGCTACCTAGAGCATGTGCACACAACATTGTATCCTTCCCATATCAAGCAAACAACACTTTGCAATAATGACGAAATACAAACGGGCAAACCAAGTAGTCAATTCTTTACTAACTTTTCGTTGGGATACGATTAGTGCAACTAAGTCGGATTGTAAGTAGGCCCACTATGTATATACACCTCGTTCCACTGAACAGAAGGAAATCACTTCCTTTGAAAAGGCTGCGTGTTTGAAGCCTATTTGCTGTGCTCTTTGCAGAACCATCTCTACTTCTGCTCGTTCTACATTATCTTTTGTCTTATGAGATCACTGCCTACCATGTACCACCCCGTGCAGCGTCCATCGGAGGGCTTCTAGACCTCAATTCCTACAATAGAACTCCATACACCCGTACTGTATTCCATGCCACAGAAGTCTGGCATGAATTACAATAGGTGAAGGTAACCCCACCGTCCAAACGATTTGGACATCCGCGTTCGGTCCCGCAAATTAACTAGCGAGCATGCCCAGAGCTTCCGTTCTCCTGGTGTGGTAAAAATCCTTCCCTACAGCTAATGAATGATGCCTGCATGAGTTTTTATAAAGCTGGTGGGAACTGCTCTTTGGTGATCGCAGGAACACTGAGACGTGTCCTTTTGTGATTTTTAGTTAGATGGACCAAGGCTCCGGTCATTCGGATGGTTGAAGCAACGTTTACTAGGCGCTTCGTGCACTCGCGCAACGCTTTTTAGGGATGGCTGCATTACTTATTACTTACGGAATATTGACACCTTTTGAATTTACACTTAATTGTGTACCCTAAAACATCCCCCAGCACACAAGATGTGTGGCCGTACGCTATCAGGCCCAGATACTATCCTGTTAGCTCCTAATCCCCGGTACTACGGACATTTGCCTTTAAATTAAATCCAATAAATCCAATGCCTAGGCTCTCTCTGTTATAAGTTTGGCTACAAAACCGCATGAAGTTTAGCCTTGGGGCCTCGTTACGGTGGTTTCGGCTGATTTATAGTCCTGCAAGGAAAGCACGAGGCCATGCGCCACCGCGCGCAAGAGCCCAAAACTTCATTCCATATTTGGTTGATGCGCTTCTGATTCCAGCATCTGCTGTATGCGTTCGAACTCTTCTGTAGTAAGGTCGCCACCATCTGCTTCCACCGCCTCTGCGTCTGCTGCCTCGGCCTCTAAACCGAATGACTTATACCCAAATGTATTGACCCCACCGCTGCTAATACCCGACAGGTCGCACACGTTCGGATGCACTCGCAGCAGCAACTCGCCATCACTACCGCCAGGAACGGGCTGGCCCTGAAAACGCAGAAGCATAGTTTAACCGTTGCTCCAATGCGGAGAGTAGGGAAAAAATGCATGAAGCTAAGCAGAACCTGAAAAAGCAGTCTGCAGAAACTACCGTAGATTGCTAACACGGGGCGCATCGCACCCGACTGCAAGCATATTGAAAGTAGCGGAGGTAGCAGCAGTCTCCTTATACTCACAAGGAGGTACCCATCGTGTTCAATGAGCCGTTGAATGATAAGACGCAACTTGCGATGCCACGCGTCTAGCTCTTCAGGATTGTCTGGCTGCAGCACTTCTTCCAACCACCTGCGGGTAACAAAAACCAAATATCTTTCGTGGCCGTGTCAGATTGCAAATATTCTGCACTTGTTCGCATGCCTGCCAACCTGAGGTGCACACTGAGCCATTTTGCGGGTGGAACTGCCTCAGGTTGCTAATGAGGTTTATGGATATCTAACCATTCGATAAGAGTGTTTGAAGAGACACCCTGGAACGGCTGGGGCGTTCCAGCAGCTGCTGCTTCTTGCTGTGAAATGTAATCCACAAGCTGAGAAGCAATGCGCTTGTAGTCTGCATGTGAAACCATCACTGCAGGCGACTCGGAAGCCTCCTGGGGATCGGCCTCTTCTTCCCCATCTTGTTTCTTCTCGCTCGGCGCAGCTGGGAAACTTAAACGGATACCCTCAGTGTGTGTTATGCGATGCAGAGAAGCGCTGAAGCACACGAAAAGCCACATGGTCAAATGTGCGGACAGCTCTAAAGAGCTGCAAAACCGATTTTTCCTTTGGCTGTGCATTGCCGCAAGATTTTCTACGGGAACTGCGTGCAGGTAAGGTTTCATGAGCCCTAGGAATGTAGAAAACTTACCGAAAGATATCCACAGCCTCCTTGACATGTTCTTCTCTAACAAAGTCGCTGAAGTGCAGTCTTGCTACCGCCTCTGCGTGAGGAAAACAGGACCAGGCAACCAGCGTGAAAGGGTGTCAAGGCAACCTGACACACATTCCCTCGTCGATGCGTATATCAGATCCTGTTCATGGCTTTCCGTAGCTTCTTCAGATGGTCAAGGAGAGGTGTACGTAGGTGCTGCTCACCGGATAAGCGAACCAAGGATTCGAGCTGCCTGACAGTTATTCTCATGTTATGCTGTAGCCCTGGTTGCGCATCCATTAGACGTAGAGCCACGTAGGCTTCCACTAGCCGCCTCTTCCCCTCGTCTGAAAGCAAGCAGCAACCTTGTTTCCTTCAAACTTTCAATCTAGGTAAGGCAGTGCATAGAAGACAGGAAAGAGCTCGCTGCATTGTGAGCTATTAGCGCGCTTAGAGCTTATTGAACCGCGAGTTCTACAATGTACCTGTCATCAGGGGCTTGATTTTTTGTGCACACTCGACATAGAGCCTAAGCTCGTCCTGGGTGAGTCTGTCTGTTTCTACTTGTGCTGTTGCAGTTGCCGCCACATCTTCTGGGCGCATGTGATATGAAGCCTGAGCATACGCATTCCATGGTGCGCAGAAGCTGTATGTACACTGTGTCTAGAGTTCGTTGCAGCGCTGATTCATTCGGAGCATGAGGTGCAGAAATTGAGGTTTGTATGCTGTGAAGTCTGACGAGGTGGTCGAAGATAGCTTTATCTCGGGCTTCGTCTACTTCATCGATGACGGTAAAGAGTAGGTCAAAGCGTGAGAGCAACGGTGCAGGGATTTGAACATTTGCAGCAAAACTTTTGCTCCTATCATATCGCCCGAACCGGGGGTTACACGCTGCCAACACACTGGCACGAGCGTTCAAGGTAGCCTGAAAGTAGCATGCATCACCGCGAGGGGGAAACAATGGGAGCATGACCATATAATAGATTGCGGAGGCGCACTCCAGCGAGCGAAAGAGGCAGAGGCGAGATCAAGATGCTACATGTGCAAAAGACGAGCATGAACAAAAGGCAAGTAGTAGTCGCTATGCCTCCTGTTGCTGCTGTGTAAAGTTTGCATGGCGTTAGAGCCAAGCTAGAACTTGTTAAGCTCAAACGCCCACATACCTGGATGCCGGCTTTGGCAATCGAAATAGTCTGCTGCTCCATCGCCTCATGGATCGCCACACGGTCCTTTTCATCCATTTTGTCGAATTCGTCGATACAGCAGATCCCTTAGGCGCAAACCACCAAGCGTTGGAACGCAAACTGTGACATCGACGCCTTAGAGAAACAGGAGATAGCGTCTTTTCAAATGATAAGTAGAGCTGGGGGTTTTCAGCCATACCTTGGTCGGCGTACATCAGTGCCCCCGCCTCTAGCACGTAGTCGCCCTGGTCTTGATCTCTGCAGCAGCGCATACCCTAAACACTACACCTCTGCCTCTGTGAATCGTCTGTTGTGCGGCAGAGAGCGCCGATCAAGCCTGCATTTACGGGTTGGGGGCTGCCTCGATTGGGCTGCGGTGTGCTGGCTAATATGTATTGAATTCACCTTACGACTGCAGCAGTAAGACCTGCTGCAGTAGATCCCTTGCCCGAAGTAAAGACAGCACGTGGTGCAAACGATTCCGTCCAAGTTAGCAGCTGGCTTTTGCTCGTAGAGGGGTCCCCCACTATGCACATGTTTAGGTCGCCCCTGTACACAGAACAAGACAGAATACGGGGGAATGAGACACGGGCTCGGAAGGAAGGCTAATTCTCGTACAGAAGGAGCAATTGAGAGACAGGGAGAGACTGAAAAAGAGGGAGACATAAACTCGAAGGACATAGAGGCAAATGTATATGTACAGGGGCACTGAGAGGCAGACAGACAGGAAAGGCCCTGAAAAGTTCACAATGCGCATGCAAGGTATTTGGGAAAACGGCAACACGTCATAGGCATGGGTTGGAGGCTTTTGCGACCCAACATATCCTAGCAATGCAGTCTGTGAAGTCTTCGAAGCCTTGCGTTCTCTGTTCAAGTTCGTGGGCGTCGAAGGGTGCCTGCCTGCTTGCCTGAGTCGTGAGCTGCCAGTTTCTTTCGTGACGCCCCCCGTGATAGTGAGCAAAAGACCTTTCTTGATATCTTCGTGTCCCCACACCTGCGTGACAGCCCAGACTGACGCAATTCATTAGCAAGCAGAAAACGCAAGCACCTCCGCATGCAGGCATACCCGCACTGCGCGCCCTTCAGTATCAAAGACAGCAGTAGCAGTGCGAAACCTTACTCTGGGAGCGACGCTTCTCACGAGGTAAGAGAGGCAATCCGGACGAGAGGCAACCGTGCGAATCCAGTCAAAGGCCCCACACCCTAAAAAGTCGCTGGCTTGGAAGAGCTGAGCCAACAAAAACACCCAAGGAGCTGTGCGGATGCCTAGATCCCATATATCATGTCTATCTTTCTGGTCGTGCCGTTGGGTGTGTTTGAGGAGGCCTGTTGTGAGAACACTCTACAAGCCTTGAAGACCTCAATTTGGCACTGTGTCTAGGAGGCAAGGAGCTTCACAGCGTATAGAGAGCAGTCATTCGAAAGGTGCTTTCCTGACTTAATAGGGTGCCCGAGTGGGGTACGCGAAGTGTCAGGGGGTGTAGGGTTAACGCTAACCTCTCCGTGGTCCTCCATGCCTTGTTCCCGCTGTGTGGAGGAGACAGATTCGATATTCAAGGCCAGTAAACAGATCCTAAAGTTGAGCTCCCTGACTCCCAAGCCCTTGAGGCCCCGCAGGGCTTCCCCTGCAGAGAGGGCTTCTGAGCGGCGCTGGGAGCGAAACACAGATCTGCAGGATTACCAAGCAGCAGCGAGGACAGGGAAACCTACCTCGCCTGCTCATGTACAGGCACAAGAATAGTGGCGGGCATACGGAGTAGATCCGTAGGCGCTTGTCGGGGATACAGGGAAGGCCATTGCAGGCAGGCTCCAGCTAGAGTTTGGAGTTTGAGGCTTACTTAGGCATTTCTCCCGGTTTAAGGAGAGCAGGAATGTCGGGCACCGCAATGAGGGCTCCCGTGACTAGTACTACATCCCCAGCGTAAACTGAGTCCACTAGCGAATGCCTGAATCAGCACCGGCACCCACAACAGCGTCGCGATGCAGAAGCGACGCGCTGCATGATGTGCTGCGTGTAGATCTTTAGTTCAGGCATGGGGATAGCGGCACAGGAAAAACGGGACAAGCCAGGGGCTGAAAAAGTCTAAAGAGAGGAGAGAGGAAAAAATACATGCTTGAAGGAAGAAAGAAGGCACAAGCATAGACAGTCAGTCTTCTTTTGTGTGTGCTACTTTTGCCAGTACCTCGCGATGACGTCGATAGAGCGGGGCACTGCCGCTGCATGCATTTCGCCCGAAGGTTCCTGCAGCCTGAGCTTTTGCCAATCTGCGTACTGTGACGCCTCCACCAACAATTCCCAATTTAAAGTGTTGTGGCAGTTCGCGCTCGAACACTTCACAGGCTAGGACGCAAAAAGCACAGCCCTTAAACACAAGTTCAATCCCCAGCGAACGAAACGGCACTGAAAGGTAACACGGCTCGCAGAAAAGGATGCTTCTCAAATGGCTGGAGGGCTTAGCAGCCACAGCCTCCGTTTTGAGCGCCTTAGTAGCCGTCTCTTTGGTCAACAGTTTAGGTTTAAGCTCGAATCACGGTAACTAAATTGGCAAAGCTAGTACTTGCCTGTGTGTATTTGAATGCCTGAGCAATTCCCTGCTCAATGTGGCCGCAGTCCCCGCAGAGGAAAGCTCCCTGTAGCAACTCGGGGCGCACGTCTGTGGTGCGCGTCACTAGTCCCCTAATGCAGCTGATGCTTCCAAGCATGCTGCAGCGGATGGAGCTAATGCTGCAATGAAGACACAAGGAAGCCTACCCTACATATCAGTCGACTACGTAGTACCTAACTTTTAGACCCCTTTTACCCGGATCAAATGGTGACTTGCGCAGAGTTCCCCAATAAATAGCCCTTATGCTTATACCCAAGCGAGAAGCCATCAAATCTGACTCCTTGGTAAATTTCGTGGCGTGAGAGACTCGAGGAAAAGAATCTGCGTGTTGTAGTCTGACCTGTGTGTGTATCTGGGGACGTCGTGTATCTGGAGATACACTGCGGAACCGTTTGCGGAGATCCTCTGGGATACTTCCGTTGCCAGATGCTGCAGGCGCTCCTGCAGCAGTGGCTGGATCCTACATGCGTAAACCAGCAAGCACAACTCCTAAGTCACTGCGGGAGCTCGCGGGAGGATTGATTTAGGAATGCAGTGTTTCACCTCGAGTGCCATTCGACAGATATTTTGGGGATGCTGCATAAGGCTTGTGTTCTCGGGTGCTAGGGCTGTGAGCTGCATCTTAGGAAATGCAGCACGTTTGTAGCTTGCGCATTGCTGTGTGCCAGACTGTTCGTTAGATGCCGCCAGCACTCTAGGAACTGCAATCTAGGATTTACCTTATATAATTCCTACGGATGTGGTGTGCAAGCTTCAGTCCCGCGTCCTCCACGGGAGCCCCTTGGGGTGCCCAACCTTCTACATCTGCGAGGCGGACAGTGAGTGTTTTGTTTGACTGCGGGGTGCGCAGCAAGGCAGCTAAGCGTCGCAAGTAACAGAAATCTGCGCACACAAAAGTCACAGATTTTTAGATGGCGAGCTGTAAGGCTTATTCGAAAGCCCTTACTGCGTTCTGACACATTCAGGGGATCATGAATCAAGGCAACTTGAAGGTGCTACACCTTGAAGCTTTCTCAACATTCCGCACCTGCAATGTCAGGAGGAAGGCCTTCTGTGCCTTCTGTGTTGTCTGAATCGTCCGAGCCTACGGGGGGGCCCTTGAAGACCCTCAAAAAATGTGCGAAGAAAACCGCAAAGTTCGTGTCCTGAGGGCACACAAGCCCCAAAACAAAAGGTTTTGAATAGTGGAAATCCGGCATGTGAGCGTCGTCGTTCATAAAGCCCATGGGCCCCAACCTGGCCCTGAAAGCAAGCCCATAGGCACATGCCTCTGTCTTGGGTTGTTGGCTTTCAACAAGAGACACGCTGGAACGAGTTTTGCCCGGGTTGCTGTGCCAAATGGCTACATATTTCGAGTTACCTGCACTGTTGCAGGGTCGTCTCGGCCTGACGCATTTGGATTCACGGTGGAAGCAAAGCCAGAGGGTCCAAGTACGGACTGCTGGAAGCCCGCAGGGGCATCAGGCGTTGCGAAGGGGCCCCTGGGCCCCTCAGAGGCACTAGCCGCTGCCGCCATTTCCCCTGGTGCTCCTACAGGGGCCAAAGTGGGCGAACGGGGGGAACGGGTGGGAGGGATACGAGAAACCAAGAAGCTTTCGTCTCTTCGGAATAAAGGCCTGTTAGGTTTTAGGTTGGGGACCCACGAGACGAGGGAAAGAGGGACAAAGGAATAAACTAGGGGGACGCGTTACCCCACACAGCAAGGGATATGAAGTCGTTCTTAGAGGAATTTACTGCACTTATGAAGGACTAGACGCACAGAAGACAAAAGAATCCGTATATAACAGAATATGGCACAGAAAATGTATGTGTAAAGTCCACTTTCAAACCCTGAACTGAGCGGCGATGTGTTTGCTGGAGGGGTTGGAGCGAACGACCCGAAGGACTGAGGCGGTTCACCATGGGGTACTTGCACGAGAGTATATTTTTGCACCACTTCTGGAACCCATATGTAAATAGCTAAAAAGCACTTAATACATAAAAGACAAATGTCTCGGCTTTTGTCTTAGCTCTAAGCTCATGGATCTAGGATTTGGATGTTGCATTCAGTGTCCTTTGAGCCCTCTGGCATCGCAGGCTACACTACGCTTAAACATACCATGGTACGTGAGTCTAATCAACTAAGCATTTGTAAAGGGATGAACAATCGGTTTGTCTGCTTACACCTCTTATTTACTTCAGATTACCGATCGCTGGATACAAGAAGACATCACACTGTGTGGGTATGCGCTAGATGCTATGTGCGTAGTCTCGCCGTGCTTGAAGGATGTAGCTACGTGCACCCTCCGTGTTCCTCTACCCTCATGCCGAGAACTTTGGAGGACTTTGGTAGAGGAGGAGGGCACCATTTTAGGAAGCTTTCAACAACTTTCCACTAAGCTTGTACTGAGCCTGGATTTAGATGTCTTCCACGGAGGCCCGAGATGGAATGTGACAGTTGATAAGACTGCATGGTTCAACGCAGCTAGTCCCTCTCATCCACTTTATATGGAATCATTTATATATCAGGTTTCCCCGTAACACTAGGCTGCTTCTGCCAGCTTTTCCGATAGTTCAGTCACCATATTTTCTTTGGCAGCACTCTAGAACACCCTTTGGAGATGGAATTAGGCGGTGGTACAAAGCCTATTGGGGCGGCAAAAGCCGCCCTACAAGCTTATTTGAACGCAGTTGCTTCATGGCCGGAAGAAAGACATGACTCGCCAGCCGTTCAAGTGCCCGGATGCATTGAACAGACTATGCAGACCAAAAACGTGTGACGACCGTAAGGATTAAAAGTTACCAAGAAATTTATTAGCTAGCTAAAGATGTAGGCCACTTTGTAGCCCGAGAGTGAAGAGAAGCTATTGCTTGTCGCGCCATTTTTATTGGATTGAGAAACACTTCAACAGTGGCTCTACCCATGCAGAGGAAGTCCTCTTCGTGCAGGATTACTAGAGTTCAAGCCTTGGTACTTTGTCATTTCAGACCAATCGATTGATTCTAGCTTTAGCTGATTATCAAGCTTTGGGCAAGTTGAGGAAGGCAGAGCATGGAATTCTATCTACTGATTTGAGATTCGCAAATCTGAACCGTTGCTTCGCAAGGCCCACAACACCGACGAGCAGCTACTGTGTCAGTAGTGCATTTTCGGCCTACCTTAAGTGTTGCGTCAGGTAGTCAAAGCATGATCAGCGACTAAGCAGCCGAATGTTCAGGCTTCGCGAACGGTGAGCTGAGGCATTAGGAACCATTTAACGCAGCCCCTGCGTATTTGCCGGGAAAGGAAGAGGCGAATCGGAGTTCATTGCTTTAAAGTGGCGTTGGTATGTCAACTGGTCATGGCTTACAGTCTACGGTGTGCCAGAAAAGAAGCCAGAGGGGAGAGGCACTCTAAAGCAGCCCCAGAGAACTCCGCAACAACGCACATGCTCCTATTGTGAGAAATCCGATCAGATACTCCGAGAGTCCAAGCGCATGCAAAAGCTACAAAACTTGAAAAGTGGGACTGGACCCAGTGGAAGCAGGCTGCTTGGCGATGAAAGGAGGTCCATCAGGGAAACGAAAGGTCCCCAAGCAGGTTGTGAAACAGTAGAGGTATACAGAGGATAGAGCCGCTGTTGGAGAATTATCAGGGGTCGATTATTCAGAAATGCAACAGCGCATTGATAGGAAAGAACTCCCATCGTCAGTTGAAACTGGATGTGGAGTGGATCTGCAAACCGAGGAGACGACACACTACTGCAACCTGCATGTTTACTCGTTAAGGTAATTCCTGAAACTCAGGTCTGCTGACGGGCGTCAGAACATAAGTACGGGCAAGGTATATATGCCATGTGAGACTGAAATGAGGATTTTCAGCCTCGTCTGTGACTTTAATGCCGGACTCGTCCAGCAGGACGTAGTTTTAGGTATTCCATGAGTAACCCAATGGAAGTCAAGCACGCGGCACCAGCTGCGCGCCGTAGAAGCTAGTGTGCACAAGGGCACTAAGGAGAAGCCAAATTTGCACTCCATAACACCGCTTATTTTTATATTGTTGGGTGATGTATAGTATATAGCTCAAAAAGTTGGAGAAAAGTCTTCATGCGGGCGGCTTAGTGAAGCAACAAGAGAAGACCGTTCTGAGCATGTGTCCCTTCTTACTGTCTCTACAAATGGCTGTTTATTACAAAACTTAGCTGTACTTCTAGCCGAGGAAGAGCAGGAATACGCGCATATCAAGATGCTCGTGAATGGGCTAAATACTGATGAGCTGCAAGCAGGCTGACCACCTGCTGGTCGCCCACTGCACCTCATAGAGATTATGTTCGGGTCAGCCTCAAGATATGTGCCACAGACTTAGAGCTCCTGCAAGGGTTAAGGGAAATTTGAGGCGTATGTGGATGGACTGCTTAAGGGCAGAGTGCAGGAATCAGAGAGCGGCATTGGGCATAGCCCGGTGTGCATGTGCTTTAGCTTGAAGCCCCCAAACAAGATCACTATCGAGCAAAGGGGGTTCCCAAAACTCCTAATTGGCGAGCTACTTGACAGCTTACACGAAACAATAGTCTACTCGGAACCGAATTTCACAGAGGTTTTCTTACGAATCCCCACTCACCTAGATGAATTACACAAAGCGCCCTTTCATATTTGTATTCGTTAGCTCGAGCCTACATGTATGCCACTTGCACTCCTTAACTGCCCAACTAAACTGCAACGGCTAGAATCAAAATGTATTGAGCGTCACAAGGAGGGACTGATGTTTGCCTACATAGACAACGTTTGGAGCGTAAGCCAAAACGTTCAAGAGCACTTACACCCTGTCCAGTGAGCGCTTCAGCTATTACGAGACTAACACTCATGTACTCGTTTCTCACTAGATTCTCGGAGCATCTGAGTTTCCGTGCTTTGGATGCAGAAAACGAGCTAGGTCCGGCCGAAATTAAATCAATTAATGTGTGCCTTTACCCAATGAACCCGCGATGAAGTTGCAGAGGTCTATGGGCTTGCACCAACGCGTGAATCGCTGCTCCTTTGATTGATCTACGAGTAGCACGCAATCTATGGCCCCTACAAAGGATGGTGATCCCGCAGCAATGACTTTGATGATCAGCGTTACTGTTTCTGTACTTACTCTGTACTTATGATGCCCGTTGCGAGCGTAGGTACTTCCTAACAACGGGTGCCACGGACATAATGGTGGGTGCTCTTATCTTCCAATAGGCTGTTGGTTTTCGAGAGCATCGACATTTTGCTCGCCTCTCTCATATTCTCCCCGAAACCGAGCAGCGGCATTTAGCCCGGAGAAAGCTGTACGCGGTGTGGTGGCGCGTGATAAAAGCCGCCGCTATGTATATTGGCGCCATTATACTATGCAGACAACCAGTCTTCGGAAACAATTGTCGAAAGTTTGAAGGACTTTAATAATGGTGGAGTTGTTTGGGGGCTTGGACGCCACTTGCAGTACGGCATACAGCGACTGATTTGGAGGGCACCACAACCGATGCGGTCGCCGACGGCTCTGGCCCCAAGAATTCTCTATTGTGCAGCACTACCGTCCTTTCTGTGATGTTTTACGGTTTCTATCGGCATTGTGGGGTATGCTTTGATCCCCTGCTGCCGGTACTATTGTTTAAATACAAAATGGCACAAGGGTGAAACACTACCACACTGAGGATGATGTGCTATGACTTGTATCAAAGAGATAATTCGTCGCTTGTATATTGGTATTTCGGTTCGCAAAGCCGTTAAGCGCACAGCAGATGCTCATTTTTATGCGGGCTTCTGTATTATTCACATTACAATTGAAAAGCTCTCACGGTTTTTTTGGCTGTGTGGGGTGCGCCCCATGACAGAGGAGGATGCTCAGTTATGCCCAAGCTGTCACCAGTTGGAGTAGTCCTGCTTTTTGCCCCCAGACACTTGCAAGTGTGTAAGCTCCCGAAATCATTGGACTAATCTGCCTATGGACTTTATTGTTGGACTGCCGGGGGTCACCAGTTAGGACAGCATACACTTTGTAATTGACATACTTTTGCCAATGTGCCAACTTTATCCCTTGCTGCAACCGTGGGTTGCGTCAGGAGGTAGCCTCCATGCGCTTAACGCATACACGGAAGGCTGATGGATTTCTCTGCGGCAGTGTTACGTGCATACATTCAAGGTCGTAAGTGCTCTTCCGAAATACATTCGTGACTCGCCTGCACATTGACCATAAAATGACTAGTACGAACCACCATGAGCTAGTTTGGCAGACGCAGCGTGCCTTCCGCGATCCTCTGCAGTTTGTGCAAGTCCGTACTCACAACAGTCGAATTGCTTGGCCTTTTTCCGTGCGCTCTGAGTGGGCTTATAATGCATAAGTGCACTTGTCTACCCGTTGCCCTCCCCCATCCTGGGTCTCGTTGAGAAGCCCCTCTCTGATCTGGGTCTGGACTATGTGGTCCGGCGTCAGAATGCACCCATAGCGCCAGATAGATTTAAAGAATATCTGGCTGGTGCACGCGAATGCATATGCCAAAGAGGGCCAAGGACAGAACTATGAGAATCGGTATTCGGCCGTGTCTCTGGAGGCCGGATAGCTGACCCTTGTGGATCGGCAGCCTTTACGATGTGCAACAAAAGATGGTCAGCCGTAAGCGTTGCGTCCAATTGCCAGTTTCTTACGAATAGTTTCTTTCTCCTACCCTATGGATTGCTCTTAGGGTTTGAGGTGCCCTAAGACTCTCAAGGCTGAAAACTCTGTGTATGATTCCCATGCTTTGTTGCGCAGGGTAGCGACCCGCATAAAGTGTGCAGTTCCACATGCATCCGTGCAGGTGCTCTATCCTAGGGCTATCGAGCACCGAGGACACACTAGACGGGAAAGTCTAGTGAAAGCAACTGGGGACCGCCAGCCTAGGTGGCTGACGGGAAGGCGATTGCGTGTTTCACTGAGCGCAGGACCATTTGCGGCTTTGGTTAGTTTTGAACGAGTGTGTATTTTAATTCTTTTTACATTTGACCTGTCTTTTCTGCCTCGTAGAATGAGGTTTATGCATTGTAGCGCCCCGACGAGAGCGAGCTATCACGCCACCGCGGCTGTGTTGGTATCGTCCTCAATCGATTGATGGCCAATGCCTGAGTCTCTCCTTTCCCTAAATTCCCTTTACTGGTTCTTGCAATGGTCTTGCGTTTCTGCCTGCCTGGGGAATGACGGTACGATGGTACGTCTTCCGCTGTCCTGCAAGCAGATGGTCTCAACGGACAGGGAAAGAACATGAGAGCGTGTGTCCGAAACGAGGCGGCAAGTGTAGTGGGCTTAGCTAAGCTTGAACACATTGTACTACACTCGCTTTATTTTTACGAATGTGAGGAATTGATTAATTGGTTTGTCTGTCGTATACCGTGTCTGCCGAGCTATTGCCTGCACTAAAGAAGGCGCAGTGCTGTGCACTTTTGCGCTGTTCCCTTGCCTTCATGCAAGAATTTTGAAAGGCATGGGCAGGGGAAGGAGAGAGTTCCTTCAAGGAAACCTTGATAATTTAAATCCAGTTTTGTGTCGAGCCTGAAGTTATGCGTCCCCTCACGAAGGCTGGATGGAGCGTATCAAGTGATGCGTGAATCGGGCTCTGAGTATGCGCCAACTGTATTGCTTTCCTCTTGTACGTACAACTTGCCGCAGAGCAAGGCTGTTTTATGCCAGCAGCATGTGAATTGTGTCAGTCCACCACGCTACTCTGTCGACCTTTTGAAAGTGCCCAGTTTACTCAGAAGTTTTAGCCGGTTGCATGCTAGGTATTCTTCCACCTTTCAGTTCGGAAGCCCACAAGAAAAATGCCGATGGGGAGAGGATCTTATTTTAAAGGACATAATATAGGTTCCCAAATATTTCACACAAAATTTGAGAGCTTACTGTCTTAACGGACAACGAACGAGGACCACTGCACCAGCCCAGAGCAACAAGGAACTCGTGCAAGGACTAAGAAAAATAAGCACCTAAACGACTCATTGCATCAAGCTAAGGCTTAATTAAAATAAAGTAGTAATCAGATAATGTTCTTTACTTGCTCACCTTGTTGGTCCATCCATCGCTAACCACGGTGGGAGCTGGAGCGCTTTGTAAGCGACTGGGTGATGAAGCGCCACCCCTCCCGCTTCATCACACAATCACCAGATCGCTCTTGTTTGACCTTTTTCTAAGAAAATTCAAACAACTGGTGGTCATCAAGTCTGATACCCCAGTAGAGGGGCCGTGCGACAGGAATGTGCTCCACTCCCCCCGGACGCTGAAGGAAAAGGTTGACACTTGAAAAAAGGCTAAAGTGAGCTCACTTGCGTTCGGTGCAGTAAATATAGTCAAATAGTGCATCTGAATTATTGCGTACTTGCCTTCCATCTTGAGACCTCAGCACAAGCAGTTTTCCCACTTGGCTGGGCTTCGAGCGTCCTGCTCGAGGTACCATATATATTCTACTAGTTAGCCGGCATTACAACACATTTATCATTACCAAACAGGAATACTGGATGCTCCGTCGTGCCTGGTAGTGTTAGGTATGTAGAGGGAAGCTCTGGAGGAGAACAAAGAATCTATTTGGGTAATCACCAAGTCGCTATTAGGGGGGCTGCAGACGCATCACTGCTTTCAAGCATCGCTGCCGTTTACCGCTCCCCGGGTGCATTTTTCAGTTTCCTCCTTCCACGATTAAAGTACGTAAAGCAGAGGTTTTAAATGTTGCTCTCCAAGGTATCTAGCTTGATCGCTGTGTTTGTTCATGGACTGGGTATTTGGACAAGCCTCAGGAGGATGACTGCATGGATGAACTTCCGGAGTGCTTGGTAGCAGCTGCGGGGTAGGCATGTCACACTGCTTATCAGTAAACCAAAATTAAAGCGTATGCCGCACAACGCTTAGTGCTGGTGAAAGAAACCTAAACTGTAACCTGTATGAATTTCGTTACTGGTTTTTCCCAGGCTGCACTCGGCCAGGGACAGGACTTCGGACGGCTGGCAGAAAAAAGATCACCTTTGTTTGTGCATGTCCCTTTTCTGCTAACGTCTTTCTGATATTTGGCGTGTAGGTGCATTTGCCGTATGAGTGATACTCCACGGCTTTTGGGTGTCTCCCCTTCCCTCAGGGGTTCGTTATTTTTGTTATGCCTTAATCTCCTGCTTTTCTGCTAGCACCGGTTTTTCAACAATGGAGTCTTCACCTACGTCAACATCATTTGACACAACAACGTCCACCGTCCCTGAAGCTCTCTCTTCTCAAGGGGAAGAAAACGCCCCTTTTCGTTGGGAAGTAGATGACGAACACCCTCACGCGGCTACTAATAACTCTGTGGATGCTTCTACAGATGTCTGCGACAAGTTACGGATCACCTTTATTGTAGCGTGCCTTTTCCTTGGAATTGCTTTTGGTTTTACATATTTGGCAAGGAGCAAACGGATGCCAACTTCAACTTTCCTTCCTGTGGAGAAAGCAAGCGGCGGCACGATCAGCGGTAGCATCGGTAGTGCAAGTACTATCACCGGAGACACCCAAAGCAGCGTGATAATCAGAGACAGTTCATTTAGTTCCATAGGCCCAAATTTCGAGACGTATGCACTGAATGTGCCACTTGAGACAGACGCAGGATCTAGAGAAGTTGTAGAGCCATCGAGCCCAGACAATGCAGCTATTGTTCAGCAGCTTCCGGTAAAGGCCTTCATACCCAGTTCAGTCGAAGATTGGAACTTGCCTGCAACTTCTACGATAGAAAGCGCATTGTCACGGACCCATGCTGAAGGGAAAGAATTGCTTTCGAAAATGCTTAAGGAAGCCAATAGTAGCATCTCTGAGCAGGCTCAGCAGACCTCTGCCATCCTTCCAGCAGTGGCCATGTACCTGACGCAGGGAGCTACGCAGAATATAAAAGGAGTGAGCATTAATCTAATCAATATCTTACCGTTCAGCACTTTGCCCGATGGGTTGGAGGACCGAATGAAGTTTACAGTGACCCGAGTTTTGGAAGAGGGGGGGTTTCGCAGTGTTGTAGAGATTTGCGATGATCGAGGTCGATATTTTGCCCTTAGTTTCCTAACAGTCGATTCTACGTCGAGTGATCCCACCCAAGTCGCGGTAGACGTTCAAAAAGCTTTTGAACTTGAGCTAGAGGTCATCACGCAAGCCTGCGCCCAAGCACCCGCGGAGCACACCGCACAGCAGAGAGGCATAGCAGTTCCTCTGTTTACTGCAGAAATAGAGGGAATGCCAAAATTCTCATCTGTTGGGACATCATGCCTTTATAATCGGGTGCACATCATGGAGCGGCTCTATGGAGATCTCGGTCACTTGGTAAATTCTAGGACGCCGATTTCATTCGGAGCAAAAGAATACATAGCTCAGCGTTTGTTATTGCAAGTGCTGCGTCTGCAGGAGGCACAGGTTAGCCACAATAATTTAAAATGGACGAACTGTTTCATGCAGCCTGATGGGTCATTTCTCTTGGGTGACTTCGGCTCGAGTTCTATCTTTGGACAACGCTTGCACCCTCTGGCGAGCGTAACTCCACTATACACTGATCCTCTCCTATTGAAGGAATTTTACAGTTTTGCTATCTTTCCGTCATCAGATCTTGCAAAGCCCAATCCCAAGAGCGATTTGTGGTCGCTAGGCATGCTCTTGTACTCCCTTTTCACTGATGGGGAACTTCCTTTCCATCTACAAAGAGAGCGCGACTCCCTCAGACAAGTGTACATTACGCACTACATCCTAATGTCCCGCAAAACCTCAATTGAAGCATTGGAGCAAAGGTTGCAATCCAAGGAAGTACCCAGGAGATGGATTCGACTTATTTCGAAGCTGTTAGAACCCACGAGGATATCAAGGATATCTGGGAAGGATATCTCTTTGGAATTTTCTGATCTCTTTCAGTAAAAGAACAAAAGGCAGGATCATTTTGCTGCGGTGTTTAGCGCTTACTCCTTGACCTCGTCCAATTTTTTAATAACACATTTCAATAACTCCGCCCTTACCTGAAATGTCTCAAAGCGCGGATTTGACAGTTTGCGTGTGCTTTTAATGCCTTTGAAATGCTGTGCGCCTTTACCATGGAAGCAGACAACTGTATTTGCCCACATGGTTGTGCGGACTGAAGTATGCAGATCTTCACAAGCGCATCCCAGCCAGCGTCTTTTTACCATTTTGGGCGTCCTTGAAGAGCCAGCTTCCCACTGGGCATGTACCCTCTTCCGCTGTACGGCACTGCACACAGCTTTATTCATTGTTCTTTCGGGGTCCGTGTGAAGCCGAAAAGGACTTCGTTCTCACTTATCTGCAAGATACTGCGCCTTTTTCTAATTAAGCTTCTGAGGAGCATTTAAAGAAGTTGGAATTCCGAGCTCGTTACACGGTGGTGGACAAATTCCAATAACGTGCACGTGAGCCTGAAGATGCCTCGTCGTTCGCAAAGCTAAGCTCAGCAACTCTTCATTGGACCACTTGCACTTAATTGACAAATTAGAAAGAATTGACTTGATGGCTTGCCTGTTCTGACGCCTTGTCCCTGCAGTGAAGTGTGTGATCGATACAATCAGACTCAGTCCTGTGTGCCTGTGCTCTAGGTGCTGCGTGCACCCAGTTGTGAACAATTAGAGGTATTTTGAGAATGCAGCACTGTGCGCCCTAGCTGGTCTTTGCCCTTCGTACTAGGACGCTGAGCGGCACGGCTGGAAGAAGTTAGGAGCCGTTGGAAACATAAAATCTCGTTTAATCAAGCTTTTATTGGCTAGAGCTAAGTACCGTTCTGTGGAGATTTTAGGTGGAGCACTAAATCATTTCTCTAATGATTCAACTGATGACCACATGAAAAGAGTCATCCATAGGGGGCCAATCTGGCCATCGTACTGCTTCCCAGGGAATTTCTGTTTGGCATCAAATATAATGTAGTAAGTCAACACATATGTAAAAGATGCAAAGGAGCAACAGCACTGTAGGTGTCCACTCCTTTGTTATTCCGCTCCTGATCCATTTAGTGGTGAACAGCAAGCAAATAGACAGAAGGGCAAGCATCGGGGAGGATGATCTCGTTACGACAACCCCCGTATTTACATGAGCTGATGAGTGGCGAGAGGAGCAGTTAGGGGCAGCAATAGATATGTATATACGAAGCCGTCAATTTGCTACATACGCCGCGGTAGACCAGCAGAGGATATTACTAGGCACACTTAAGGTATCATCAGTCCCATCCCAGCACAATATGTGGCAATGGGTGAGCATGCAGAGAATACCCACAGAACTCTATGCTTGTAATAAACGTTGATTTTGGTCGGGCACCTTCAGCCTTGAGAAACTAAGACCACATTTTGCATGAACAAGCGAAAGTCATACTGGTGCAATTTTCCTATCTTACATTTTCCTTAACCTGCAAGTTTGTCGATTGTTGCAATGGCTAGTAAACTGCAACCGCACTGCTCTGTTTCCCTCCGTCTAGGGATGTCTCCATCTGTCACTTCTTTCTCACCTTCTCACCCTTGCTCTCCTCTACCTGATTCATTTCCCCCACCTGTCGCAGCGGTAACCTTTATTCTCCTTCATTGTCTCCTCTGCATCTTCTCCTTTGCTCGTTTTTAGTTTGGTACCTCCGGTGCGGCTTTTTCCTTCTTATTATTCTCGGTTATTGGGGAATCAGATCACTAAATTGTTCAACGGCATCCAGTGCAGAGATTCTCTGTTTTCTTCTGGGTTCTAGCAGCCTGCTGAGCAGTTCCTGCCACCTAGCTGGGATCTTCGGCGCTTGCGTTTCAGCCATCAATTCCTTTGGCGCGTTCACATTGCTCAGTAAATTACGAATTTTTCCTTTCATGGTGCTTAAATCACTCGACGCCTGTGCGAGCTCATATCGCAACTTTCCAGTGAAAATCTCATATGTGATAACCCCCAGAGACCATAAGTCGCCATTGATGTCAGGCGTGACGAGATTGCCAGTCTGCAGAGATTGAGAACTGAACAAGATCAAGTCTGGCTCCGCATAGGCTGGAATAGTACGTACGAGAGTTTCAACCTCTGCCCCGGTGAAAGAACTCGCACCCAAGTCCCCCAAAAGAAAAGATCCATCAGGCCTCATTAAAAGGTTGTCCGGTTTAAAATTGTCATGGCAAACCGCTGTGTCTTGCATGTGCAGCATTTGTAGCAAAGAGCGTTGTGCAATGTGCTGTTTTGCCTCATCAGAAAGAGATGAGGTGCCTTTCAGCAGCTGCTTCAAGTCCCCAACCATGAGCTCAGAGAGCTGCACCTTTACAGCGATGAACATGCCACCCGAGAACGAGCCCTCAGGCATATACTTTATTTCCGCAACACCAAAAGGCAGTGTTACGCCTCTGTGGGTCGCCGCTAGTTGGGCGGAGAGCCCGCTGAGAGCACCCCGGATGCCCCGTTCCTCTGACTCTTGTATGTCCTGTACGGTATTTGCAAGTGGTTCAGCTGTAGCATCCTCGTCCAAGTCAATGACATTATCCTCTAGATTATTTTTACCAAGAAGGGTACGCGGAGTGAGAGTTCCTGTTTTATCTGTTCATCTTGCCCTCTAGGATCACGTTTGTGGCCCCCTCCTCTGGGATCTTGATAGCATGCAGTGTAGGGGAAGCCCCAGAGCTGCACGAGCCATCCACGGGTGTATGCTACTCACCACGAGATTTCGCTTAACAGGCTCTTTGTTCCAGCCCCTAGAGATGTGCGAGGCCAGCATTAAGAGTCCCTCTTGTGCTTTAGGGGAGGCTATTCGTAGCGCTGCTAGAGTTTATTCTATCATCTAAAGAGACTTCACCAGAAATTCCATCGCTCTCTTAGCATCGTGGGGCATACTTTGTTCCACAATATCCAGAGTCGGTAGTTGGAGACCGTTGAATGGGGCTTGCTGTCCAAGCACAAGCAGCTTCCCTATCTCCCAAGATGCTCGAAGAAACCACTAAACTGCTGAACGCCATAAGCGCATGCCGTGTGGTGTGCTACGGGACCTCTCTTGGGGTATCCGACTCTGAACACTTGAACCTGCTCCTGCGCAGCAGGCTGCCTATCCATCATTGCTGCTTCTAAGGAGGGATTTCCCCTTGGGTCTGGAGAGCTGCATCTTCGTTTTGCCTCCATTTTCCCTGCAGCAACCGAAGGTGGAAGCTGGAAAAACAAGTGAACTACAAATGGAAAAATGCAAAAAATAACGAGTACAAGCAACGCAAGATGATGGTCCTTTTGTGTTAGCTGATTTATTGTGCGGAGTGTAAAGGAACGCACAGTGAGTCCTGTCACTAATCAGACCCTTTTACATGTTGGCGATAAGAGGGATTGCAGTGCAAAGTAGTTCAGGCTTTTGAAATTGTTGTTGCTTCGTAGAAGACCTAAAGTCTTTCGTTACCTGTGAGCTAAAGCTAACTTCTTGTGAGACAAACTGTTTTGGACCCTAAAAGGGATCTATTATGCGGAGGCGGGCAGCAGGACTGCTCCAGCCAAGTGGCCCTCAAACTGACACTAATACGTTCCTGACTAGCTCATCTGTTCAATGCTGCCACAGCGGCTTCTTACGTGGGCTCTCGATGCTGGTGTGGCTTGTCTCTTGGAGTTGCAAGGGGAAGGGGAAGTTGTCCACCATGGGGGGCCAAGATCAGGGAAAAGTCAGCAGCGGAGCCTACGTGCAAGGAGTAAAGCTTATACAGAAAGAAGAGCCCCGCAGTTTTGGAAGAACAGGGGTAGGTACGCTAGATGCGGTTTGCTGTAAAGGGGGGACAGTAGAGGTAACAATGACGGAGGTGATGGAATTGCATAGCGCTCTCACTCTTCCAATGTTGTATGAACCTGCTTAGGTATTATTTGTTACAAACAGAAGAGTACCATTATGGCTTTCCATCAGAGTGGAAGGGTCTACATGACTGCTGCTGGTTCTGCCTAGCAGCATGGTCCTAGAGGGGTCCTAAGAAGCACTGGCAGGAACACTGGACAAAAAAACGATATTAAAGAAGTTCCCTGGTCTTTAATCTGCCTTTGCCCTTTAACCTAAGATAAATAATCCTGGCTCGCATATCCTTCATTTCTTCCTTGTTCTGCAAATGAGGTAGAGCTCTGGCAATACCTCATGGTGTTACTACCAACCACATGTAACCAGCAATGTGTTGGAGACCTCTGCAGACCTCCAGGCCCGGTTCTGCTGTATGTCCTCCATTGGTTTACTCTCAAAGTCCTTCTTAGCTCAATTATCCAGTATCCTATGACAAATAGTGAGAAGTAATGGGGAATCTGTGAGAAGAAGTGGGCATATGTAGGCATCCAATGTCTGGAAGATTACACAGGCTGTCTTCATGACAAGTGGCGTGCCATAGTGGCCAAAGAGACGCTAACCTAAAGCCCTAAGACAGTTTAAGTCCCCTCCTCTGGTCAGGCAACAGGGAGTTTGTAGCGGGCTGTGTTACACTTAGTCACCCTTTACTCACATATTTTAACTTCGAATTGGTTTTTACCTATTGGTTTGTCTTCTCGTGTGTCTTATTAATTGCAGAGTCATCTAAGCTCGATTAGTGAAGGAGCAATGATGTGTGCATGCCCTTTTGATGCCACAGGCAACTAGCTGCGAATACTAAATGCGCTATGAATGAGCAATCATGCGCACTCTAGGTTTGCATCCCCTTTTGTCAGTAGCTCTGAGGGGCGCTGGAAGGAAAAGATGGCATATTTTTTGAGAACATTCAATAGCTTTCATATTATGTTACTGTGCAGCCTGGAATGAAGTGATCCCATACATATGCCGTAGATGGAACGTCACTGACGGTAGCACATCTCGGTTCGATGCAGCTGTTCCCCACTCGTGCACTACTTGTAGAAGCGGTGGGACAGTAGCTTTCCCCACAATAGCTGACTGGCTTTGGTCAACTAATCTGGGATTTCAGCAGTCTGCTCTTGCTTTGCAACGGTGTGCAGGAAAGCACACGGTGGCGAAGGGGAGGCATATCGCTTGCTGGGGAGAAAGGAGCTGGCCAAGGCGCAGCCGCTGTGCAGCTGGTTAAAATGCATGATATTCAACCGGCTGAATGTTATGTCGCTTCAATGAGGCTATGCAAGCCGGAATAGCATGATCGCCATAAGGATGAGCAAGTACTCGCAGATTTCATCAACACGCTAGAGATGTATTTTTTTTTGCGCCCTGGAATCTAAGAGGAACGAACGCCCTTGTATTATGTTTCTTGGAAGGAAAGGCACCGCAATAATGGCTTCATTTATAGAATAAAGCGTCCATCTCTAGGAATTATTTCAGTTCAAGTCTTGGTATATGCCTAAACTCGTCGATTTATGAGTATATCAGCTCAAAGCAAGCTTCGCCCGAGTAAAAACCCAAAGCATATGAATCTAATAACAGATCGGAATATAGAGGAGTAAGAAAATTTTGCTTGCTGATGCCACAGCGTACACGAATAGCTGGTCTGCCAGTGGTGCATCTCGGGCCTTCAGGTTCACCAGGTAGTGGCAGGTTGGGCAGCAACTCGGCGACTAAGCAACCAACCGTTTGAACCTTACAAAAGTTATTGGCCATAGGAAGTTTGAGGATCAGATAAGGGCAGCGCTTGCGTCTTTGACTGGGAAGGAAGAGGTCAACCTTTATTTAGAGTCTGTGGATGTCGAAGCTGGCTCAATCGACTGTAGCCTACAGTCTAATATGATCCGGCACAGAACTCCTCAAAGAATCTTCCATTCAGAGAAGCCCCAGACAGCCCCCCAGCGAAGCACCTGCTACTACTGTAGAGAATTGGGTCAGGTACTTGAAGGTGCACGTGTATGCAAGTATCCGGATACTTGCGCAAAATGCCTGACTGTGACGGTGGAAGCAAAGTGCTTGGCGAACGAACAAGGCGCACCAGAGAAACGGCAAGGCTTCATGCAGGCTTCGGCGAAGCGAAGGGAGCTACATAGGCTAGAGCTACAGTCGGGATCCCACTACAGCTCAATAATACAAGTTCATTTCAGTGGTCAGGAACTGATAGCAAAAGTTGGCCTTGGATATGAAGTGAATCTCTGCTCTGAGGAGACGACATACAAGTGCCATCTGCATGCTTACTACTTGACATAGTTTTTAAGACTAGAGCTTGCTGATGGGGGATGTGTCTCAGGGGTAGGCAGTGCTGCAGTAGCTATACAGCACTTCAGATGAAGTCAGACTTTAGTAGCATGGTCTGTGACTTCTCTGTTGAACCTGCGCACTAGGAAGTTTTTCCTAGGTATGCGACGGCTAAGTCAATGGAGGGCGCACATGCTGCACGAGCTGCGCATTGTAGAAGCTAGGGTGGCAGAAGGCGCTAGGAAAAACCAGATTCTGATCACTTCAACATTGCGCGTTTCATTTCCAGTGAGTGGGATGCAGTTGATTCCTTCAGATGAGCAAAAGTCTTCATGTGACCGGTTTGGCAGTGCAGCAGGAGAAGACGGTTCTGAGCATGCATCCCGTCTTAGTGCCTCTACAGCTAGTCCCTGACTAGGATAATGTCCAAACATTTAGTCTAGGAACAGCATGAATGGGCAAATACCAACATGTTCACGGGTGTTCTGAATAATGACGAGCTGCCAGCAGGCTGGCCAACTGCTTGTGATGCAGCGCATCGTTCTAGGCTAACGTTCAGGTCAACCCCAGGCTATGTTCCGCGGTACAAAAATCCCCCCACAAATTAAGGAATATGAGCAACAGGCGGGGAGCTTATGGCAAAAAGGAATGGTGCAGAAATGAGGCAGCGCCTTTGGGTAGTCAATGCTGGTAAGATAGCGATAGGCTTCAAGCCCCTGAACGAAATTCCTGTAGCACGAAATTTTCCGATGCCTAACATTGGCGAATTATTTCACGACGTACATCGATCAACAGCGTACTCAATATAGCACTGTGCAGAGGACTTCATACACATTCCTGATGGTGCCATTAACGGGCAGTAAAGGACGTTTAACGTTCGCCCTCGTGAAATTTGGGTACACCTGAATGCCGTTTGAACTTGCGAACTACCTAGCTCGGCTGCAAAATCAGGCTAATGTAAATTGTTGCTAGCTATCAAGGGAGTGTAGACGGCTATCTACGTAGATGATGCCTTCATACTCAGCCAAAAAATTGAAGGGCACGTGCAGCACCTACACCGAGCGCCCAGCTGTTGCAGGAAAAGTAGCAGTATGCAACGGTACGCAAACTTTGGGCTCTTTGCGACAATTGTGTTCCTGATATACCATGTTTCGGATGCAGGTAGTGGGCCGAACACGGCAAAGACTGGAGCAATCCATGTGTCGCCTTCGTCTTCGGGCAAGGAAGTTGGAAAGTCCCATGACCTTGAGTCTTTCTGTCATCATTTGATTGCTTGACTTGCTGAAATCGTTGCTTCATAAAACGATCTACGAGCCGCATGCAGCTTGTTACCTGGATAGAGGAGGCTCATGACGCAGCCAATGACACTTATCGGCCATTCTTAAAGTCCTGCAATACTTGCGCTGCCCGATTATGAGCTTAATGCTGCCTTACAACCGATGATACTAAAGCACCTGTGAGTTTTCTACTCTCCCAACAAACTATGGGAGCTTCAAGCATCAAATTGTTGCCTGATTTTCTCATCGCGTCACCGACTCCGAGCAGCAGCGGTAGCGCGGGCTAAAAGCCGTCGATATACATGGGCCCCATTCTACTGTCCAAAACGAACACCAATCTTTAATGCACCTTACAGAGCGTTATCAGGACTTTGATCACGGTGGATTTCTTCGCTGGCTTGGGCTTGCCCTGCAGTGTGACTATAGAGTGAAACTTGTTGAGGACATCACCGATGCGGTCGCCACGCGCTCTCGCGACGCCCCAGATATTCACTATTGAACAGTGCTACCGTTCTTAATTTCGATGTTCACGGGTTCTTTTGATACTGCGAGAGTCGTATGCTTTGGCACTCATGCATCCACGACTGTTGCCCCAAAATCCGGAGGGGCAAAAGAGTGAACCACTACCATGTCTAAGATGACCTGCAGTGGCTCAAACACAGTGGAGAGTTCGTTGTTTGTTCCTTGGTATTTCTATTCAATTCGCCGTCTTGTGCACAGCAGATGATCATGTTTATTCGGACTTCTGCGTGATTCACACTACAATGGAAAAG